TTGCGCAGATGGCTTCAGACTGTCCCTCTTTTTTTTTGTGAAGAGAAGCGAGAGGAGAAGGATCCGGATCGACCTGGTGGCGTTTGCAGCGGAGAGGCGTTTAGATGAAACAGTAGGTTGCTCAGAATACCCACTTGTGCCTTCCACGCCTAGGTACTCGTCTTGCATTCTCAATTAGATGAGATACGTATCTATATTTCAAGGGTTTACCTTACCTAAGGTACCTGCCTACCTTAGGTAAGGTACCTACCTAAGGTAAGGTACCTACCTAAGGTACCTTGGATTCCCACTCTCCGACGAGGAGTAGGAAAGATACGTACCGCAGGGCATCTCATGCTTACATTGTACATGGTCACAGAGTCCATATCTGCGCCGCACGCTGCCATCATCAACCTGGAAATCATCTGGGATTCCAGCCTCGACTGCCACTGGATTGGTCCCTGCAGACTCGACCCTGATTTGAGCCCCCGAAATGCCCCCTTTCTTTCCTCGTCTACTACGTAACACTTGGCAAGGCACTATCCGACAAAGTCTCCGTGAGAAGCTCGATTGACAACCACTGACAGCCAGTCATCCCTACAGTGTGCTGCGGCGGGGTTTCGTCCCATTCGACTACTCGAAGCATCGTCTTTACCGCCGGAAGCCCTTTTCATCCTTCTTCCCTCGAACTGAGCGTTTCCAACGCAAAGGTCACCGCCATGCTTATCCTCTGCTGCTGCTCTCTTCTTGAGGCTATAGCTTCGAGCCAGGTGCTAATACACCAACAGCCGGGGTGTCGTTGAGCTACAAGCTGCTGGCTGTAAGGGGGTCAGAGCTTGGCCGCTGATCAGAAGGGCCAGAATAACAGCCGAGCAGCTCCCTCGTTCCTCCCCAGGCTTACACGAAAGGCGGCACAGCGGTTACAGAAAATTGAATGATATTCACCGCACAAGTCACAAGGAGAGTACGAGTAGTATTGACGACTTTCTTATGCGTACCTAGATCTTCTGGCGTCCCGCTGGTTCACGTCAACCCCGGACTTGCCTCGCCTTGCCGGAACGACACACGATGTGGACGTGACAGCCACAGCCCGAGCCATGGGCAACCAGAAACGACTTGGTTTCAAATCGTCGCGTGTCTATCAGCCCGTATCAGCCCGTGTTGGTCGTCGTCTGATGTTCTGAGACGGGTGATACCATGCGCCCTATGATCCAAGGTGCGGCGTGGCGTGCCTTGGTTCATCAACCACAAGTTTTGTTTTTCTCGTTTGCTTACGCACCCGCACTGGATTTGGAGTGCTCAAAGGTCGGCGATTGGGTTCTGGGAGAGACACCTCGAACTCTCGTGTCTCATTCGAGTCATTGCTGCTATCAAGCTCAAACCCAATCTTCAAGTTATCACCAGCTCACCACACACAGTTTCTCGGAGCTATTCCAAAGAAACTTAGGAAGTACGAACGGATCACCGGCAGGGCCTAGCTGGTCTCCCAAGCCTCGACCGTGCCTCAGCTGGACCTGCAGCTAACGGCGAATAGGGACATCCCGTCAGATGTCGTTCAGGTACACCGCACTTTTTACGTGCGTGCAGCGCGAAGACCAAAAAAATAAACAGTAATAATAAAGGTTGCTCGAGATGGCGGACCCAAGTCACGAGCTGCAGCTCCGCGTTGCATTGCAGAGAAGTTCCCAACCATGGTCCATCCCATCCTGCGCCATCCCAAGTACTGTGGCTTCCGGACACTCTGTTCAGAAAACGACCATCAACATATCACCGTCCGCATACTTGGCCGCAGCCAGAGAGTCATGGATTATCATCTGAGATCTCTACCTGGCAACCCGCGAAATAAAATAAAAAATAAAAAAGAGAGAGGGAATGCAAATGCCCTATCACTATGAAGCGGATGTATGCTAAGTAGGTTAAGTTGGGTTCGATTCCTATCGGCGTGAACTGGTGTTTTGGCCGAACGGCTTACTTTATCACGTTGGTCGCAAGTGCAACGGCCCTCTCATTAGGTACCATCTAGCCTGGCTCAGTCTAGCTCCTCCGTCTCCCACAGGTCCCACGGATGGGGTGGACGGCCGGACGATGGCAATCATATGTTTGCATGGGACGATCAACTTATCGAGCACCAAGCAACCGCACCCCGAGGCCCGCAATGATATTTGCCGGATAGCTGCAGGTGCTCGCTGCTGGTGGCCCATGAAAAGATTGGCGACGAGCTGTTGCTGTTTCTGGGCTGCTGTAGCGAGTACCGCCGATGTACGAATAGTCGTTGTCATGCTTCGCCTACCTCCTGTGCTTCGTTCGGTTCTTATTCAATGGGCCTGAGCGTGTAAGTCGCCGGAGACGCTGCTCGAATGTACCGCCTAAAGTCCCAGGCTTATTACCGTCTGGCCCACCCACTTCATCCTCATCAGTCTGGAAATTCAATATTGTTGACAATACGAATTGCAATTTCGATGAGTGCATCTGGAGTCGGTCCCACGAAACAAGCGGCGGCGAGTCTCATTAAATGTGCGCGACGCTCGTCGGGCTCACATAGCCGGTGGTCAGCATCGTCCGTTGCCTGTGTACAGATACAGAAGCACTTGTGCTGAAGCTTGATGCACAAGTCGTCTGCCCAGCATGTCCCAGCATGTCCTAGCATGTCTTTTGCTGTACTACTGTCCCTGGCCTTGGATGCTGGAACTGCCCAGGAACTGCCCACGTCTTCTTTCCCCTGGATCGAGTACCTACTCTGTCACGGATATCCGTACTCTGTACGATTATGCAAACCACCGGGCACCAGGAACGGAAGCCCCTGGCCAAGTCTCAGTGCTGCCAGTGGCCAGTGAGCAGGCTTGGGTTCCTGGCGGAAACCAAAGCCACCCTCGTCTTATTCCCTTGAGTCCCTCGCTCCGCCGCCGGGAGATGACCCCAGCAGTAGACAGGATATGGAGTGGAGGGGTTTGAGTGATGAGGGGTTCCACTGTTTGTGCCACAGAAGGAGGATGGGTCCTTTGTTCATCTTCTTTTCGTTCATGTCCCGTTGACATTTGGCTGTGTGGTGTCCATACTCCGTACCCATACGATTATCTGATCTGGCGACAGGTGTCATGTACAGTTTTCATTCTTCTATCCCGGCACTGCTTGGAGGAGCATAACAATGAAGAGCTGCAGATTGGGAGTTTCCAAATCGTATGCCTGAGAGACAACAACAACAACAAAAACAATAATAACTGTGACCAGTCTTCTCTCTGGCTCTCTTCCCTCTCCCCTTCGTATATTTTCTTTTTGTTTCTTCATCCCATCAAGTGTGGTGGCTCAACGTAAAACAGACGCACTGCGACAGAGACAAATCCAATTACCCCTGTGGGAACGAAAATGTGCCTCCTGAGTCCAGGCTTAGGCACGTGGAACTTTGTCTGCCCTGAGATGCCTGCATGATATCCGTACATACCTTACACACAGGTCGGAATTGACCAAATGACCATCTGTAAGTTACATTAACAGTACCTGTACCTGGGTCTCTCAACTCACCTCGCCAGAAACGTCTTGGATAGACCGTATGGTTTAATCAGTCTGGCAAAGAAAGTTAACTGTGGCTTACCGTCTACTGTGTGAGGAAAGTGCTTGGCTCCAGACACCCCGCTGCTTGCCCTGGGGAGGGGGGTAAAGGATACGGAACCAGGAAGTACCTTACCTCACTCCAAGGTACCGATCCCTCCCGCCCTGTTCCTCCCCCCTCCTCCGTACCGCAGCACCGCAGCACCGCACATCTGCCAGCGTGTGTGTCCCATCATCCCGTTCCACCTCCCGTCCGTCCAGCCCCGTTTCTCATCCAGTACCAATCCCGATTCCACCTCCAGTCTGCCAGTCTCCCGTCCCATCCAGAGTCCTCCCCCCAAATTCCACGACGAGCGCCACCGCCGTCCACCAGTGGTCTTTCCCTCTCTCTCTGTGTCTTGACGACGGCACATTTCCTTGACCTTCTCTCCTCTCTCATCCTGCTTGCTCCCTTCCTCACTTGATCACACACACACACACACACACACACACAAACACACATACTACATACTTTCCCCCCTCTGTTTTCTCCTACACGCTAGCACTCTATCTTCCACATTACGCGATCCGCCATTAAGGCAAGGTCCGCGCGTAGCAAGCACCTTCCCTCATTATAGCCCTCCAGCTCCCATCAAACTCCCTTGTATCTTTCTAAGGGCCTGGACAGCCCCCTGAACCCGTCCACCCCTCTCTCAGGCACGCCAGGTTCGGTCCTCACCCTCCCGTCGCTGTTAGACCGATACCACGGGCCAAGCCAGGGCTTGCCATCGTCTCGCTCGTCCTCCACGTCGTCGTCGCACCTCTTCATCCAACTGACCATTCGAGGGCCTAGCTTGTCACCACAATTCCCGTTTCGACAAGCCCGCGCCAGCTTTGCTCTCGCCTCGTCTGCGAGATCAAGTCCTTTCCCACTTCACCATTCACCGCGTTACCTTGCCTTACCTCACCTCAACTAACCTTGATTTGGGTCACCGGCGCCATATCTTTTTTCTTTTACTCTCTTTTTTTTTTTTTTTTTTGGCACCCCCAAAGGCCCCGAGCCCTCGAGTGCAACCTCTCACATCCTAGCTGGCGAACTACCTCGAGACCCTCTAGACGAAGACAAACAAGCGCTACCACGACGACACCGCTCACACCCCTCGCTCCCGTAACCACCTCGATATTCATTTCCAGTCCGTCCGTCTGCTTTTGCTGCTATCACGCTTCTGAGCACACACCCCATTTCGAAGCGCCATTCACTCAGAGCTACGCTGCCCGCCGTACACGCCCTTCCTATCGAGCTCCTGGCACGAACCGCACAGCCTGGCGACCGACCCTCTCCCCTCGTCGTCCATGATACAGCTTTTCATAGTCGATCCTTCGCTTATCGATCGTTTTGCTCCCGATTTGCTTTCATGACCGGCGACAAAGTCGACTTCCTGCTCGCCAGATAGTTGTCGTAACGACGTCCTGCGAAAGAGGACGCTCTGCCTGTCATGACCGCCATTGTGGAGGATTACTTGGAGAGTCCCATGGATACTGACGACGTCTTCCCTTGCAAAGGCTGCGGCGAGGTACGATGGCCCACCCCGTTACTTCTGACTATTCTGCAAGCATGTACTGATGGCGGTACCCTACCCGACTAGATCCTAGAAGAGGGCAAAGCGTTCGAACTTGGTATGTCCCCCCAATTGCTTCTTTCCTCATTTCTTCCTTGCCCCATTCTCTGCTTCTGTAACATGCTCTGAGCAGCATCATCTGGCTTCACTCTGCGGCTATGATGTCCTCTGTGGCCATGGCACCGTCGGCAGTCTCCAAGTTCAATCAAGCTAATCAGTCTCCCCCCCGTTCAGCTGGCAACCGATGGCATCTCAACTGCTTCCGCTGCAACACCTGCGGCACCCTTCTCGATTCCGATGCGAACCTTCTACTGCTGGGCGATGGCTCGCTCATCTGTAACAACTGCACCTACAGCTGCAGTGCTTGCAACAACAAGATCGAAGACCTCGCCATTCTCACTGGAGACCAGGCCTTCTGCGCAACGTGCTTTAGGTGTCGCAACTGCAAGCGCAAGATCGAGAACTTGCGATATGCTCGAACCTCACAAGGCATTTTCTGCATGAGCTGTCATGAGTCGCTCATGGCAAGGCGGAGGAAAAAATCCAAAGCGGCAGCCCAGGCCAAGTCGAAGGAGAAGGACGGCTCCCCCATGATCACAGACAAATCGCTACCCGCCTTGCCGCCCAATGCTATTCCTCCGAACGCCTTCCATGATACCAAAGTTGACCCCGATTCCGATAAGGAGACTCCGACCGAGCTCTCTCCAAGACCGCGACCGGCATATGGTAGAAACGACTCATCGTCAAAGAATAGCACTCGGCCTTCGCGTTCTCCTGAGCGTGCCTCGGAGCCCACCAGGGAAAGCGGGTTGGGTCCTCCTGCTGCAAACTACCGCAACAACCGCAATTCGGCCATGTATGCCCCAAGTAACAACAATACCGATGCTAATGGCGGTGACGACGGTTTCTTTATCCCAGTTGCACTGGATAACAACCCGGCATCGAACGGACCTCCACGATCGACATCAGAGAACGTGTCCAGCATATCCAAGAAGCAGGATAAAGACTACTTCAGTGTGCCCCGGGCCAGCACTGATAAAAAGGGCGAATCCCAATCCTCAACCCCCCATATTGCTTTCCAAGAGAAAGGTCGACAATCTTCGTCTGACTACGAATCCGGACCAGTCAAGTTGCCTTTGCGCAAGACCTCGAAATCTTCGAGGCATGATGGGCGTTCGTCGGTCATTAATGACGAAAAGACGCAAAAGGTTACAACCGGCAAGCTTTCGCCGTCGATTGACGAGTTCAAGTTGCAAGAAGCGCCCAAGAGCAAGAAGCTTATTAGCCCGAGAAGTGCTTCGCACTCGGCCGCCTTGACCCCAGAGAGCGGCAGCGCCAAGAGCAGCGAGGGTGTTCTACGTAAGGACAAGGAGCCGTTCCCCAACTTACCATCGTCCAATTCACCTCCACGCATGGCCCGATCGTCTCAAGATTCGAGACAACGTGATGAGGGCGAGGTGCGTCCTTCGATGGACTCTCTCTCTTCCTCGCGAACAGACACGACTGCTGGCAAATCTATTACTCGAAAAGAGCTTCCCTCCCGCAATTGTATGTTAATCCCGTACCCGTGTTTGATCGTCATGCAAGACGCACCGACCTAACTTTTTTTTTTAATCCTCTCATAGCAAACGGCAAGCCTCTAGGACGATCCAATACACATGATGAGACAGGCCTATCGGGTCTCGCAGCTGCGCGACCGAACATGACTGAGCACAAGCTCAGCGATACATACATGCAGCCTCGAGCACCCCCGCAACCGCCGGGTGTACCTGCTAATACTGCCAAATCTCTTGCAAAGGATCAGGCGAATGTCAACGAGGAAGGAAAGGTCTCCCCTAAGCTGCCTAGATGGAGTGCGGGTGGCGATTTCAGTATGGACGAGGACATGGCGAGAATACTCGGCACCGACGCAGATTCATCGTCCATCCTTCGCCGTGTGTCAAATGCTGTCCGCCACGGACGCACCAACAGTACCGAGGGTGGTCATTCTCAGCCTCAACATCCTCATAGAGTCACAGGTCACACGAGGAGTATCAGCGAGACCACCCGTGGTACCGCGTCTCCTCGCTGGCCCAAGACCCCCATCGCTGAGGACCCCAACGGACATGAGATCAGCAGCCCTATTTCCCTCCACTCGAGTGACGACCCGGCTTTCCTCAAGAGGCAGTTGCGCAACTCAGAAAACCGTGTGGCCGAGTTGGAGAGACAATTCAACACGGAGAAGGACTTGAAGCGTCTCAACAAGACACTCATCGAAAAGCGCAAGACAGTTTCGGTGTTGGATACTCAGACTGAGATTATGATTCGTCAGCTCGAAGTCCTCGCCGGGTACGTCGAACGTGCAAAGGAGACCAAGACACCTGTAGACCCTCGCGATCTGGAGGATTCTGCAATCAAGGAGTTCGTGCAGAAGCTCGACAAGGTCAAGCAGGCAATGAGCGCAGCTATCGAGCAACTTCACGAGGAACGCGACGAACTAGTCGATGAGAAGAACCAAGCCATGGCCGATAGGGACCGCGCCCTACTGGAGTTTGAGCAGCTGTCTTCCAAGAACGCCCAGCTGGCGGACATGAACAACGATCTGACTCACCAGATCCAAGAACGCTTCAAGTCTCAGATTGGAGGCGAACTCAAGTCTCCCAACGGACTTGGCATTTACAGCCAGAGCAAGGTCTTCTCATCATCCAACCTCAACCTTACCGACTCGGCGAGCATGACCACGACTCTCGTTCATGAGACGGATGAGCCAGTTGTTGAGGCTCGACCTACGGTAGTCGACATCAGGAAGGGACAGGTGAAGAAGTTCAACTGGAAGAAGGGGTCCAAGGGCCTTGCAGGAAGCGTGGCCAAGGGTGTCAACCGTGCCGTGGTAGCTTTCCAGCAGGATCGCGAACGTGGCCCGCATCAGGGTCTGACAGGTGACAGTATTGGCCTGCCATACAATATGACTGTTTCTCAAGTGGAAGCACCCAGTACCCAGGCTCCTGGCCCTGCCGCGCAGAGGGGCGCACAGCAAGCACAAGGATTTGGCTTCTTCAAGAACAAGAATAATCAGAAGTCGATGTCTACGACCAATGTGTCGACGCCCACGATCGCGGAGGCGCCTACCACCTTGTTCGGCTCAGACCTGACCGAGAGAGCCGACTACGAAAGGCGCACCATCCCCAGCGTAGTGACACGTTGCATTGAAGAGGTTGAGCTTCGCGGCATGGATATTGAAGGTATCTACCGAAAGACAGGCGGTAATTCCCAAGTGAAGATGATTCAAGAAGGATTCGACAAGAGCGAAGATTACGACATCTCAGATCCTGGCCTGGACATCACGGCGGTGACGAGCGTGTTGAAGCAATACTTCAGAAAGCTGCCGATGCCGCTGCTAACGTATGATGTATACGACAGAGTCCTGGAGTCAAATGGTAAGTTGATCGAGACAAGTTTTGACGTCATGGGCTTACACTTTTGGCAGCCATCGCAGACCAGACTGAACGCTGCGACCATCTTCGTAAGGTGTTCGGCACGATGCCCCAACGACATCGTGACTGCCTCGAGTTCCTGATGTTCCATCTGGCGCGGGTTGCTCAGCGGGAGCCCGAGAATTTGGTAAGCTTCTCAATCTACTCGTGCACTTTTGCAGTTGAGCTAATTGAAATGATAGATGTCTCCCAAGAATTTGGCGGTGGTATTTGCGCCAACGATTATGCGGGACACAAGCCTGGAACGCGAGATGACAGATATGCACGCCAAGAACTTGGCTGTGCAGTTTGTCGTCGAAAACAGTCACACCATCTTTACCGATTGAAAAACTGGCTTGGATGGACAAAATGATGTTGGAAATCCCATGTACATATCAACGCACCCACGACTTGACGCCCTCGACCCCTTTCTATTCAATCATTCTGGTTCGGAGATACCTAGCCCCATCCTGGCGGTTTTTATTACTACATTTGGATTCGAGTTGTTCGGACGCCGTCATGACCATACAATGGGATTCAGTTCCGCATTAGGAACTTTTCAAGATATCCACATTTCTTGCTCCGGGGCACGAAAGGAGTTTTCATGGTTCTCGAAGGGAGGCTTAGGAATCAGGGCCGGCGGGACGTATTCACTTTCGTTGCGAGCGCGCTTCCACCTCATCCAATATTGAAGTGTAGAGGATGATTCAATCTGCGGCGAGTTCTGCAGTTGACTAGGAGTAGGACGATTCATACGCGGCAGGAGGATGATCAAGCACGACGCTGAAGAGCATGTTACTTGCAAACAAAGTCATTGTGGGCGAGGTGGTATTCCAAGTTTTAGTGACGCTGCAAATATCTCGTGGATGGCCCAGACCATCCTTTGTATCTGAATAAAGCCAAGCCGAAACGTTTATAAACCGTTGTGCCTAAGAGTGTGATGTGTACAATGTGGTATCTATCAAGCTGTGTGTGTGAAAACGAGGGCAGACTGCATGCAGCTCATTTCCCACCTTTCCCCGACCCATTCTGCTCTGTTTGTTTTGCTCACTTGGAATCTCCAACCATGCGCCTCACCTTTTCAAGCAGCAGCGCGCTCTCCCTGCCCAGCCTCCGCTGGCCGTTCTCCGAGCCCTTGCGAGCCTTGGCCATGGCCCGGCGGAACCGCTCGCGGTCGGCTGTCTTGCGCTCGCGCTCCTCGCGACGGCGCTGGATCTCGGCGCGGCGGGCCTCGGCCTCTGCCTTCTTCTTCTCCGCGTGGGCGATCTGCTTCTCGTAGTAGCCCGGCTTGCGGGGTCGGCGTTGTTGGCGGGGTTCGTAGCGGTCGGCCCCGCCATTGGCGTCCTCGTTCGCGGCATCGCCTTGTGACTCCGTCCCTTGCACGTCTTCGTTGCCGTTGCCGCTGACGTGCTTGCGCTTGACGGCAATAGTGTTTGGGTTGGGGGCCTCGCCGTCGTTCTCGAGCATTTCTGCGCGTGAGGGGTGGATTTCTTCCTTTGAGGGTTGCGGGGTGGTTGTTGTTGGTGATGTTGATGTTGATGATGAGGATGGTGTTGTGTCTGTGGGTGTATCTACTACTTCTGAAGCCGTTGCTGCTTCCGTTGGTGCGGGAGAGCCAGTCTTGCTCTGGGGATCCTGTAGAGAGTCAAGCTCGTCTTCGCTTGAGACGTCCTTTGCCAGCGCCGCGGCGGCAGCCGGTTGCTGCTGTGCCGTTGAGGACGTATCCCGCAATGCTAGTTCCCTCTCCTTGATCTTGGCGTAGGCCTTTTTAATCTTGGCCTTGTGGATGAGCTCAATCTTTTTCTTTTCGACTGAAAAGGAAAGGTTAGTGGGGGTGGTCGTTAAAAGATTGAGGACGTGTGACATGTTTGCTGACCTTTTCTGCGCCATGGGCCCTCGGGGAGGGTGTTGGGACCGAATCCCTTGCGCTTCTTGACCTGGTGGGCGTCTTTGGAGGATGCGCCCTCGGTGCCGCGCTTAGGAGCCATGGCTTTGGTGGTGAGGGTGAGTGAGAGAGAGATGGGGATGAGGCGAGATTTGGCGACGCAGTGAGAGGTCGGTCGGTCAAGCTGTGAGAGCTGAGCTTGGCGCGGTGTCTGTCCTCCGCGAAGAATGAGGTTTGTACAGACTCGAGGTTTGATGTGTGACTCTTCTTGAGAAAAAGCGACGTTCGCCCACTATTTGGTGTGTATGATATCTCTATGAGAGTGAGAGATGTCGATGCAGTCGACGAACAGCTGAAGGATGAAATTTTAGGTGGATCCTGCGATGAGAGGTTCGAGAAGGTCGGACGCAATCGGCTTAGCGTGGTTTCACTCCAACCAGTGGGAGGACGGTCTGCTTCGGACGTTGTGGACCCCCCTCCCCGGCTCCAGATTCTCGGACTTCATAATCACAGATTTCGTGACTCGAGGGTGTTGAAGACTTTCACATTTTTTGGGTGAATAGCATGCCTCTGTTCTCGGCACTGCGTACCAGATTTTTTGGTTTCCTCTTAGCGGGGGACAACATCTTCAAAAAACCAACATCCTGCAGCTTATCACCATGTCGATAATTGCAGTAGGAAACATTGCGACAAGACACTTTTCATCGAGAGCTCGGCTGATTGATGAAGGTGTACATGTTTCTGAGTATTATAAAATAGACGAGCCGTATGCCTACTCTACAAGGAACTCGCTGCAAAGCCTCCACAGCCCGGGGATTCGTGAGATGACTTACTGACAGATTTTAACTGACAAAGCACTCAAGAGCAGATATAGACTAGCTAAGCATCAAAGGGAAAGATGTCTAGGTAATTTACCTGAATACTTGACACCCCTACTCTTTCTCGCAGATTCTTTGTAGAGTGCAGTTCAGTCTGGATGACTGCCACGAAAGCCTCCCGCGTCGTACGAACCAGAATAAGGCAAGCCACACAGCCTATAGAGGCAGAAAGATATGCCAAATGAGTATTGAATATGGGCATTTTTTCCTTTCTTGCTATAATACGTGATCTACCTTATTCTAGCGGGGATGGCCTCCTCCAGTCGTGCAAGATGTGTTATGTACTTTGAATATAGATTGAGCTCTGCTGTGCAACTGAAGTCAGCACCAATTTCTCGACAGTCCATGTGTAAACACTGTAAGTATACCGGCCATCTATCCCAATCGCAATGATCGAGTCGGGCAACTACTCTCCCGAATCCGACTTCGCATACGATGGTTGTCGTCTCAAATCTCTCATAACCGAAAAACGAATCAACACCCTCACTCAAAGCTTCTCAATCAACCTCACATACAAACTCTCCGCCCTCGCCAGCACAACCCCCTCACTATCCTCAATCCTCCCCTCGATCCACCACTTGCGCCCAACGACCCTGGTGACCTCGATGACGCACAGGATCGTCTGCGGCGTCCGGACGGGCCGCAAATAGGTCACGTTGAGGTAGGCCGTCATATACGCTGCGTCTGGAACGAGGCCGTTGGTCTTGTTGACGGGGAAGACGAGGCCGATGGTCTCGTCGAGGATCGTCGCGACGATGCCGCCGTGCGAGACGTCCGGGTACCCGTTTACGCCGCTGCGCAGCGTCAGGAGGGCCTTGAGCTGGCGGACCAAGATGCCGGTATCGTCATCTTGGGGGATGTTTGGGGTCTTGAGAGAAGCAGGGTCCGCCGTTGACGACGTTGATGAGAGGTATGATGATGACGACGGCCGCTTATAAAAGGTCAGGTACGCGGCGATCGTATCAGCCGTGTTCAACGTCGTCGAGAAGAGCTGGTCCTCCGTGTTTTGCTTGGGAAATCGCGACGGCGCCGTGTCGCGGACCGTGTCGGGCTCGTTGAGGTGCGCTGCGCACCAGGGGATGCCCAAGAAGTGCTGCACATCTGGGTTCGCCGATTTCATCGCTGGGCCTTTTCCTCCTTACGCGTCGAATTTGAATCCTTCTTACTTTTTTGAGACTGCGGTCTACAACGAGTCTGTAGACTTGCCGGTCAACTGAATGACGTACTGTTGAAATGAGCGACTTCGGATTCAATGTCAGTTTTGATGGACCCGGTTCATCATGGCTGTGGATGTTCTCAGAGCTTCAGTTGAGCGAAAAAGAGCCGAGGTCTCCATCAGATAGGGCCCGTGCGCCGGTCGCGGCATGTCACCATCAGGTAGTATTAGTCTCCTTGGTTTTGGTTGGTACAACACCTCGGTCCTTGGAGAAATATGGGACGAGCTATATCAGACTTGACAGTTCCCATGCACCATTGACGTTTTCCGCGTTGAATCTTCGTCAGGGATCATATCTCTTGGGACATGTCTAATCGAGGAGCGGGTCGGCGGCGGCAGGTTCATCCCAAGCCTTGATCTGCAACAGCATTCACAAATTCCAACTGATTAAGGTATGCACAGCTTTGGGATACGGATACTTCCTTATGATGCTATCCCCTTCCAAGGTCGCTAGAGCATGTATCTAAACCCTTCGCTGGCCGGTTTTCCGCGGCCGCCTGATCCTACCAAGCCCTCCTCTTCTTCGGCCTCGCTACTGACGGCGCAAGCAGCGTCAGTCTTGCGATTTAAATAGGAAATATAAATCCTTAGGAACAGCGCCAAGATGGCCACGGCGAGCATCGCACCAGCGCAGGCCTGCATCCCAGGCGCATAGAACGGCGCATCTCTATCTGGGTATAATCTCGTTCCCACAAGCGGTCCGCATTGCCCAATGATCTGCATCAAGGCAAACCCCCCACCCTGCCTGCTCTCAGACGCTTGGTTATTGATATTCCATGCTACGGTGAGCGTTACGACATTAAAGAAGCCTACGGCCGCCGGATATACTGCGAGATACCGCACCAGCGGCGAGAGACCAAAGGGCTTTGCCAGTGCAAGCGCGGCATATCCGCCAGCCGATGCGAGGGCGTGTAGTACGATGGGAATGGATCGGTTCTGCGCACGATCAGACAAGTGTGATGTGAAGAGTACGGCAAGAAAAGCCAGAAAATAAGGCGGTGCACTGAGCCCTTGCGATGCGAGACGAGAGTGGCCCATCTCGGTGAGAATCTTGGGGAGAAATACGGGCAAAGAGGAGTATGCCATGTTGGTGAGGAAGAACATGGCTGCGGTTAGCAACGCCATGGGATCGCCCAAGACAGCAAACACTTCACGACTGTTGAGATGGCTAGAATTCTTGCATCCACGCTCCTTCTGATACGGCTTCTCGCGCCGAAGACGAATGCGGGCCACCTTTTGCTCCCGGACAGTGAGATAGCGCGCCGTATCTGGGCTGTCGGGAATGATATGCCATGCTGCCACGGCGGCGAGAACTGATGGAAAGCCCTCGACGAGAAACAATAGACGCCAGGGGGCTATGGGACCAGCCTCTGCATAGTTGGTGATGAGCCAAGCCAAGGACGATGCGAATGTAGTTGCTAGTGGTGCGGCTGCTCACAATCAGTCGACTGAAGCCATCATCTGAAGCTAATCAATACTGACCAGATATGAAAACAGCCGTACGAAATGCCAGTTCCTCTCGTTTGAAGAAGAAGGATAGGTAGAACGGTATACCTGTGAAGCCAGCCTCCCCAATGCCCAGCAACACCCGAAGGAAGATGAGCGTAGGGTAAGAGACGGAGACAGACTGTAGCGAGGCGGTCAGTCCCCACGAGAGGACAATCATGGAAACGTAGATGTGGGCAGGAATGAGCTTCCATAGTAGCGACATCCACTCAAAGAAGATGTATGAGATGTAAAAGGCCGTCAATGTCCACTCATACCAGCCATCCCACGGAGGATTCGTCTGCAGATCCTCATCCATGCCAGCTATGCGCGCATTGCCAATATCTGCAGAGGAAGGCTCGTCAGCAAGTCGCAAAATCACATGGGCGTGACACAGGATACGTCATACTGGATCGATCCAAAAAGCTGAGCATGAATAGCAGCGCTACAAAGACTACCAGCTTGCGGTCGTGCTTGCGAACGACAGCCCTCTCCTCGTCAGGGGTGTAGAGCTGAAAGCTCGCGACGGTGCTGTTGCTCGCTCTTCTCCGTAGCGACGGCTCGTCATCGCCCCATCCGTCATCAGTATCCTGTGCAGGCGATGCCCTTAAGGTCTTGAGCTCATAGGCCTGGCCGCCGCCAAGTTCCGCCTCGTGCAAATGCAGGTCCTCGGCGTCATCGTCGGCATCTGGTTCGAGGTCAAGATCGCTGTCGAGATTGAACTCGGCCGTAGTCTGCGCAAAGGATGGTGACGCTTCGCCGGTGCGGTTTGAACGGCTAGGTGTGTGAAGCCTCGAGAATTCGGCCATTACGACAGGGGGAGGAGCGTCATGCGTCGCGTGGGAGTCGAGGACGCGCGAAGACCTAGGGGATACGTTCTGCAGGTAAAGCTACTCAAGTCATAGAATTGGATGGTGTGCAGATTATTGGCTCGCAGGCCGTAGTCCGCAATGCATGGAGGTGTTTGTTTCGCCGCATTGGAGGTCGGCGTTGCTGACGGAGCTAGCTCAAGAATTGGTGTCTTGGAGGAGTGAGCTGGGCGCGTTGCTGCTGAAATACGAGGAACGGCGGAAGAATGCTTGAGATAGCTCCAGCGACCAGTGACGTACTACAGCAAGCTGACCCCTGTTTCGCTATTAGCGGAAGGGGAAGCTGGGGATCCCCCGAGGTGTCACTGCAGCTGGATTTAGCGGATTGCGGGTTGCGGGTGACGGCTGTGACGGGACGGTGTGCGGGAGGGCATCGAAGTGAACAGGGGTATTTGACCAAGATGTTGATCTTCAACTATCTCTTCTTCTCCCCTTGTCTGTTTTCGATAAAGTAGTCAATTATTGAAGCAGACGCCTTAGCTTCGAACCCGTGTCTACTGCATTGCCGCGTGGGCGTGCGACTGATTCGCTGAAAATGGAGGATGCCGTGGCTTGTCCTACACAGACAGCACACGGTACATTGGTACAAGTACAGATTTATGTTGTGGTAAGCCGCCTAGAGGACGCTCTCTACGGAGCGTATAAATGTCATGGATCATCACCCTTCTTCCCGAATAATCTTCTGAAGCCGCCGCCCTTGGGTGTCTTTGGCCTCAAGTCCATGGAGGGTTTGGTCTGTAGTGTGGGTGTCTCCTTTTCCGACCAATTGCCAACCATGTTGGGATGTTGGGGAAGCGTCCCGTAAGGCAGACCCGCCTCCTTTGGTGAGAGCTGTTGCGGCGACATGGCTGTTGCAAACTGACTCGCTGGCACACTCGACATGTACTCACGGGGGGATGCCCCTCCTCTCGAGGTTGAAGGGCCTGCGCTTCGATCGCGGGGCCGGGGTGTCGCGTTTTCCGCCTCCCTTTCCACCTCCTCCTGTTCTGCCCTTGCCGCAACCATGTCTTCGGGAAAATCGCGCACCTCGTCGCCGCAGACCACAATGTACCAGCGGATATCCTCTCCTCGTTGAAGCTGATCTCTTAGCTTCTCGAACCAGCCAGCCTTCTTCCCTGACGAGCTCTTCTTGGCCTTGTAGAATTCATCGCTGGGGGCGCTAGCCATCGCCTTGGTCTCGCTCAATCGCTCTTCGTACCGCATAATCTCCTCCGTTATTGAGTTACTTAGATCGATGCGTACTACGTGGTCGGCCACGTATGCGTAGGGACGGCTGACGTAGCTCAGATCAGTCGGATCGTATTCCTCGAGCAGTTTGACAGCACTCCAATCGTTCTGCAAGACGTCATCCTCCTCTGGCGGCACGGTCGAGGCTGGTACATCATATTCGTTACGCAGTGCGGCCGCCTTGGACGCTTTGGACTTGTTGCGCTTCTTCTTGTCACGCTGGGCTTCGGATTCGTCGGGTGTGGGTTCGGGGAGGAAGTCGAAGAGGGAGTAGAAGGACTCGAGGATGGCGGGAGACGAGTTTGGCGCAATGATCCATTCGGGGGCAGCATCGTCTATGTTCTGGACGACTACAAAAACGCGAATGCTTCGACGATCCCAACGAAAGCCGTGGCAGAGGTAGGTAGGCATGGTGGGTAGTTGCGACAAAGCTTGGGACGGGGGAGGGGGGGGGGCGCGAGGGGGGTGGCTGGGCGCGGGGGAGGCGGGGGACGGGGGGGGGGGGGTGGTGGGGGGAGGAGGATGAGGCGGGGGGGGGGGGGGGGGGGGGGGGAGGGGTTGTGGAAGATAGGACGAAGCGGTATGTGGCGGGGCTAAGGTAGGTAGGTAGCTCGGGGGGAAGACGGGAACGATAACAAGCGTAGATCGGTGGAGAGCTCCGAGCTGGGGGTGGATGGGAGCTCCTTTTGCCAAAGTCAGGGTCGGGTGCCGTTGTTTCCTTGGGTTGACGTTGCTCAGCGGCGTTCGGGGAGAGATGTTGTTGGTTGAGCGGGTTGGACGAATTAGACAGCCCAAACCGCCAGAGACGTGGAAGAGGGCGGTGGATGATGGCCGTCCTACGTCCAGTCGCGGGGCTCGTCAGAGAGCACTGGTCCCGAGACGGGGTCGATTGAGAGTTGGAGATGGGGGGAAGCAGAGAGGCACGGAGTGGGCAGGATAAGATTCAGTTGTTGGTGATTGCCGGCGAGACGGTAACAAGAATGGTACGCAATGCATTATTCGAGCTGTGGCCGAGGAAACATGGCTTGTCGCATCGCACGCTGAGCTGCGGCGCACCTGACGCCCAATGAAATATTGCTCTTTCTTGGGGGGGGGGGAGACGACGACTGGGGACTCGAGAGCGGCGCAAGTAGCCTGTAGGGGGATCGAATTGGAGCGCGAATCCAGAGAGGCCACGGGTTAATGAACAAAGTGCAAATTCGGGGCGGGAAAAGCAAGAAAGAAGGGCAAGATCAGGCGAGGCGAGGACTCGAAGAGGGGGGGGGGGGGGGGGGGGGGGGAGGGGGGGGGGGAGGCGGAGAATCGGGAGGGGGTTAAAGAAAAAAGGGGAAATTCGGGGCGGGAAAAGCAAGAAAGAAGGGCAAGATCAGGCGAGGCGAGGACTCGAAGAGGCAGTGAGGAATGTCGAGAGGTGAGAAGGGAAGCTGAAGGGGGACTAGAGGACTGGAGGGAAGGCACGGGAAAGAAAATATGCCAATAAGAAATGCCCCCCCCCCCCCCGGGATTTGGCAGGCGCCACCACCCACCATCCGGGATCTGTGGCCGGTAGACTCGAGAGAGCTCTTGCCTACCTTACCTCACCACGTGCCTACCTTAGGTACCCTACTGGGATCGCAGGTTGGCTGTTTGCGACCACCTCAGCCTCAGTGCTTTTACAGTCTTCCCCCTCCTTGAGGAACCTTCCTCTTCCTTCCCTTATAGGTTCCTTCCCTCGCCTCCATAGCATCTGGGGTGTCAGTGCTCTGATCAGGGCTTAGCCAATGCGGGAACAGGCCTTCTTCTGGACGCTGCGTACAGAGTACTACTAGCGCAAACAAGTGCACCAGATCAGATGTCACTCATCGTGTGACCATCCGCCTCGGTTCAACTACCAAGAGCAAGGTACGCAGGAGAGCAACAAAAGAACACGGCATTCTCAAAATATATGAATAGAGAAACAGGCGGATCGATCTTCACAGCATTGGCTATGACATGCATGAAACTAGGGCCCCGGAGCTGATTTCCGATCCTTATTCCGCATCCAGTCGCAGGCAATTGCTGGCTTTAGGTAAGCAATATAGGTCCACCCGGCATGCTACCTTACCTTGCGTGCTTGCCTCGACTCGGAGTTGAACCTTGATTGCTTTTATCAATCATTGGCAACCGAGGTTCGAGTTGAATCATCTGCAGGTACGGTGCACTAATCAATTTGGTACCTACCTTAGGATACTCTATACAAGTTGTTGTTGAGACGCCAACTCTAATACGGCGTTTACGAAAACGAGACCTCTACAAGCAACACCAAAACCACCGTTAAGCTTAATCTTTACCTTGTTTCTGCAGTGCTGCACAACTCCCAACTTTTGGCCAACGTACGAGGCACGCCGGGCGAAAGCGGTTGCATTTGAACCCAAAGGACCGGGGGCCAATCAGCAAGCACGACATGATTTGATATTCGCGAATGGAGGCATACGTGTTCAGCACAACTCTACTGACGGCACGGGTTTCAAGCTGTCTTGAAACTGGGCAGAGGGAACTACCTAGAAAGCTTAATCCCTGTCCCTGGAGCAATCGAAAGGAAGGCCGATGGCCCAACCTCAGAGGCTTCCCGAAGCACTCGCATCGAACAGGCGGGGTAATAAAACCAGTCTCGCCTTAGGTTGTCATGTCATGGGCCTGTTGAGTCGCGCACCGTTTCCGACGATAGAAAGCTGTCAGGAAGCCCGGCCGACATTCCATCTTCCCGGGGCCGAAGCTCACATGCGTACACAAACTTGTTGTTCCTCGGATGTTGTAAAAGGGTGGTGGGGTAGATTGAACTCTGGCACCCAGCGGTACTCAATATGATCAGCAGCAACGATGACTGAGCACGGAGGTGCAATGTCTTGATCTGCTACATGGATGATAGTTTACTTCATCGCAGCTTTCATCCCATCACATTGGCTTGCCGATTACCTAACAGCAACACAACCCACAAGCGCTGCTCCGAGCAGCGTCAACAGATTCGAGGCTGCACCAGTCGCCGTGCCTGTTGCAGTAGCTGTTGCAGTACCCGTTGCCGTACCCGTCGCGGTCCCCGTCTCCAACGACAATGACGAAGTCGAGCTCCCGGCATTAAGAGACCCGGTGTAAAGCGCAGGACTGGTGAAATGTGAACACGTTCCGGTCGCACTCAAAGCACTCAAAGCAGACAGCAAAACCGATGCTTCCCAAGCCCCTACCCACTTGGATTCAGGAAGGATCGGGGTGAACTGCCTCGACCTTTTCTAATCCTGTAGTGATGGCCACAACGACAGAGCGCGCTTCCACGAAGCACTTGTTGACGGGCAGCTCCTCGTTCATCGTCCCGGTGCTGAGCGAAGGAGTTGACGTCGATACGTGGCACCGCCGGTACTGATCCTTAAGCACATCTCCGCCGCCGCTGCCAAGACGGCCGTTCCAGCATTTCTCGATGCCGGACGTGGCCGTGTTGCGTCCGATCCAGCTGGAGCCATCGATGTGAGTGATGTTCGCCGGCCAGTAACCCTCTTTTTGGCAGCCCACATCACCCGTCGGGCAAGCGACTTGGTATGTTGCCGTCGAAGTATCGTACGTAACGACAGATGCTTCGAGACTCCCTGTCGGATGAGTGTCAAAGACGAAGAACTGGCGAGCGGAGGATGGGACGCGAGGAGCTTGCGCGTTGGAAGCCATTTTCCCGCTGGAAGTCAGTTTCGCAGTCGTTTGCGCGTTGGTAAGCGCCAACATCGCCGAGACGGCGGAAAGCAGCAACGACATCATTCATTGCCAGCAAAAAGGAATCTGTCGAATGGGGGTTTTGATGTTGCTCTAAATGGCCGCGCGTAAGCGCGTGTGAGTTGCAGGTGTTGGTTTTTTACAGAACAACATGAGCTTTTGGCGACGAACCGGCTTCTTAAAAGCAAGTTTTCAATGAAACTTGGCAAAAATATCGGTCGAAACTTTTACAGGATCAGTGAGTCTGCCTTGAACCAACAGAGGTCGCCAACCGAAAGGGACTTTTGGGCGGAGGAGGCTGTTCTTCCAGCCATTGGGAAGACTGTGCCTGACAGGGGCCCGATGTCAAGGTGCAGGACCAAGAGCTTAATTGATATATGCTCATGGGTCCGGTGATGAAGGAACAAGCCCTGGAATTGCCAGCTGATGCTGAGGTCATTACGGCTGATTTAACAATACGAAGCTTTCAAAGCACGCCGCCAGAAACATCCGCGCCGGCCCAAGTCGAAATCTACAATGTTAGCCGAAGACGTTTTCCAGCTTGATGATTTTGAATGAAGGCGGTTGTCATCATGTAATATTTTAATTGCCTACCTAGTAATTAGGGGGGAAGCGTCTTTGCAAAAACCGTAGCTGCTTGTGTCGCCGAGTTTCGTCTGAGACCAGGCGATATTCAAGGGAATATCCATAGATGGGCTCGCCTGGACCGAGAAAGCTGGGCAGGGCAGACATGAACCATAGGAACAATAGCACTAGCTTGGGTTGCGCAGCCTCATCTGTTGCTACTGCTACTGCTACTGCTACTGCTACTGTGCAGCGATATCATGAGAAAGAGCCTTGGGCCGAGCTCTTACTGTGTACAAACAAGGTCCTGGATGACACAGCAAGACTGAATAAGACACGGAGAGCAGTCGGTTCTCGGTCGGGGTCCACTCGGTGGAGACCAGTCCCCCCGATCCGATGCGGATGTTGGAATCCTCCTGCTGCTAATTAATTACCAAAATTGTAGTCTGCTTGGCGGTTGGGAATCCCAGCAGCTATTCCAGCAGGCGATTGGACGGTGGCTTCGTACAGCTGAAAGAAGCTTAGTCGCGCCGCCGGGGCCATCCTGCTCAAGGATGAGACTGTGCCAGGGGATGGGATGAGCTCAGGCCAAGCTGAGCTGACTCTCGGCAGGGTCATCCCAGAAGCTTTTTTCTTCATTCTGCTGCTTCCTGTACTTATTTCTTAGATCGTGAAGCTTGGATTTTGTAAAGACTATGGGTGCAGGCGCCCCTAAGGTTCATCAATCAGTCTGCTAACGAAGCGAAACGTTGAATAACCTAAGCATCTCGAAGTTCCAAGTCCATGTCCTCCAATGTACTTGCGGGCTTTGGTGGGCCATACCCCCAGTCCAGGTCGCCGACTACAGGGTATCATCGCCTGTTGATCTACTTCCCTTTTCAAAACTTCTGCATCTCACCGCTGAGCAATACTCCATCTTTTGATTTCGGACATCTTCAACGTCCGAAAACGCCTGCGGGTCTCGGGTCTCCATACCGAACGTGGTCACCACACTACATAGTATACTACACTACACCAACCGGCCTGGCAACGGGGGCCACTCAACCCCCCGACTCCTACATTGTATGCTCTCAAGAAGCGCGAGTTCCTGAGTAACGGCGGGCGAGGCAACCCAGCCCAGCAATGTTGGTGTGCGGCTTGCCACCTTTCCTTCTACGGGAAAGGCTTGCCGCCTCAGCCCTCTGCTAAAAACGAACCAGACTCAGTAAGGCGCCGCAACGGCGCGGTGACTACGTTTACTAGCCTGTCCCTTCATTCAACCTTCTATTATCGAACCCTGTGCTCGCGTTTGCCCGTCTTTGACAAGCAATTGGATCGTTGACGAGATGTCTGTCCCCAGCGACCTTGGCAATGTACGCTCAGCGTTGCAACAGGCAATCAACTGTAACCTCCAAATTCAGCCCGCAGTCTCGTACCTAGTGCCACAAACCTGTAGCATCCATGGATACCCCTTGTCAAACCGTGTCCCACCGCTGGTAAGCACTAGCAACCCAGAAGCAGAATGTACATGTCGTGATGCTATTATCCGTACTTACTTGCCAATCTCTCTGCTTTGCCAACCGGGACGGCATTTGACTTTGTCACCTCAATGGTTCCTTTCTGCGGATCAAAGTGCTCTGGGAAACCATTGATGCCAATCCATGAAGCAAGTTCCCTTGTAATGCAGATTTTCTCAAGAGGAGAGAGGGCTAGATACTTATCTTTTGCCCATCTCCTACCGACTAAGTAGAGCGCATAAGAGCTGCCTGGGCGATCCGCTCGCCTGCATGGTATCATACGCTTGTCTCTCCCGCAGAAGTTATGTGGCCAACAAATCAAAACAGGCGGTGCTTCTGTGCTGCGCCCAGCTCGCTCCTGCTCACATACCCGCGGCACACAAGGCTCATGTCAAGCTTTCGTGGCTGGGCTTTGGACGACTTTTGGTGTACTCCTCGCGGCTAACCCATGCAAAGGAAGCGCGGACCCTTTTACACTACGGATACGGACTGCTGCTTGTTTCTTCCCAAAATCCCACGAACCACGGCAAATTTGAGAGGAGAGACTTAGCGCCCACGTAGGCAACTGGAACCCTGCAAGCTCAGCCCGTCAGCTCAATGGCGACGGTCCCCTTTGAAGTTTCTTCTTCTTCATGTTCTTCTTCTCCTCCCCGGCCCGGCACCCAGCCATCCCATCCACCAGAGCCTGCAACAGATGGTGGTCTCGACCCCGGTCTCCGGGACCCCTGCATCATCTATCATTTACGCGAGTGTGTGGTTGATCAAGGATTGCGTCCCGACCCAGTACCTGGCCCCCCTCTGCCAGTAGAGCAAGCTAGCCATGCCATGCCTTGCTCATTCTTACCACCCTCGCCCAGACATTGAAGAGACTTCGACCATCAGCCCAAAGGATGGGTAACACGGAGGGGTCTGCCCGGGGTCAGAGTTTACTGCACGCTAGACGACATGTCTTCCCACCCGTGTCCGCTCCTTCGTTGATCTCCTCCTCCTCCTTCTCGATCCCAGCTCATGGCTCATGCTTCTCCCGTCCCGCACCTTGTCCAATCCCTCCGGCTCCTTTCTGGCCTGTTTGACCGCGCCTTATGAGTACGGTAAAGTACTTAAAAATGGCTCCCAGGGTAGGTCCCCGCTTGGTGAATTCCTCTTGGCTCCCTTCTCTTGGTTTTCCATCTCTGGGGCTTTTTCATGCTTCACCAAGATCCATTGATCCACCAAACTAAAGCATCATGGCTACACAGTACGATGAAGGCCCGGAGCTGGCGCCTCAGCATCAATACCCTGAGGTCTACCACCCGCCTCCTCAACCGTCGTATTCCGCGTCGCCACAGCCGATACCTGTCACGCCGATGAAGCGGGAGGATTCGACGTACGGATACCCAGCTTCCGGCGTCGACCAGTCCGTTTATGGCGGCACCCAGTACCAGGCAGCCGCCGGGGAGACCGCCGCACCTCAGAAGAGCAGGAAGACTATCTGCGGCTGTACTTTCCTCGTCTTCCTCTTGTCCGTCATCATCGCAGTCTTGGCGGCCGCAGTCATCGGCCTGGCGGCGGGCACCGGCGTGGAGGCGAGCCGGGCAAACAATGCTATCCAGGAGCTGGCGGCCATGTCGGCGTCCGCAACCAGCGGCGGGTCGGCTGCAACGACAACGGTGACGGTGACGAGCGCCTCGGCGACCGCGACTGGTTTCGCCGCTCTCACCAACGGCTGCTCCAACTCGGACGAGACGACCACCGGCCAGACATACACGACCGACTTCTTCGGCAAGAAGACGTTCACAATGTACTGTAAGCAGCACATCCCCCTCCGCAGTCTCCATTTACACTACTAACATCACATTAGGCAACTTCAACGCACCTAACCCGCCCCTAATGTCGCTCTTCACCGCCAACTTCAACAACTGCATGGACGCCTGCGCCGCATTCACCAACTATGAGCCCGGGTTTGAAGGCAACGCCACGTGCACGGGAGTCAGCTTCATTCCTCTGTGGACGACGAGATCGGGGGCCGTCGAGGGCAACGCGCCGGGGAACTGTTACCTCAAGCCGGGAAAACAGACCAAAGCTGGCTTGGAGACGCCGAACATTGGAACCGAATGCCACGCCGCCATCATGGACTGAGTCTTTGATAGAAAAGAAAGCCAGGCCAGTGGCTTTCTTGAGGTGGTTGTGAGCATGGATAGCGTGGGGCGTATTCTTCGGTCTACACCACTATTGAAGAAATATTTACGTGTACTAGTTAAACACTTTGGGGCGTTAAAGGGATACAGCATACCTAAGATAGGGACAAGGCAGAATGCCTGCCGAGAACTCAACGGCTCATGAAAACATTTTTTTTCAAGCATTCACGCTTTTTGATTCTCCGTCAGCACATGCACGCTCTTTCTGGGCGCCGCTTCGTTCTTCGGCTCTGCGGACCACGCAGCATTGCCTTCTACGCCTCAGTCGAACATTCAGGTCACCAAAGAAAGAAGTCGAGCCCCTCAATACGACCCCACTGCAGGCTGCGACGAGGAAGTCTCATGATGCCTTTAGTCAGACAAGGTCAAGCCCTCGGACAGGAAATCAAAAACTAGGCAGGCAGATGTCGGGAGCCGTTACAGAGAGGGCAACGGCCTCCACACCACAAAGTCAGGCGATTGAGTTACACCTGTAAGGCAACTAGGTGCAACGTGAGAGCTGAATGGAAAAGGAGGTCAATCGTGACGTTGATGTGGAGTGGAGGAAATTATGATCCACGATGCCTTTTAGATTTTCCCTTCCCTGCGCATCTTATCACGGCGAAGACGACATGATTTCACAAAATATGATTGGTACGTTTGGAACAGTACGATAATCATAAAAAGGATTTACATACGGTGCAAATTTTTAATTCATAATGTCAGTGCTTTGTATCTACTTTCCCGACTCATCGCCTTATCGATTTCAGAATCAGGCATCGGGTGGCTGGCGGCTCGTTCAAAACAAATGGCACCAGTTTCATTGTCTACTCGCATCAATAGGCGAAGAATAGCGTCAGAGGATGTGTTGGTGAGCTTTTAAAGACAACTTTAAGTGGTCATATCAGCCTTATGGTCTAATTTTCGGAAGTTGTGCTGGTCACTTTGGATTCTTGTGCTTTGAGAGTGCAGGAAGGGTATTATGTGAGACGGTATGATGAAGCATAGCTACTTTTTTTTCTTCTTCTCATGGCACACCCAGTTTTAATACAGAACTGTCATCTATGTTTTCTCTCGTGAGACATTTTGGTTTCTGGGATGCTGGGTTGAACGCCATCCCTCGCCGTTCCCTCTCTAGGAGCTGAAACCCGTTATTGGTGATTTCGCGGACGAACATTCCACTTGTTTAACATGTGAAAGGTATTCAACTTGATCGACAAGAGCATGCAGAAACTAGATTGTCTTTGCTTCGTGTTTCAGAGATTCAAAACAAGACTTGTTAAATTCCTGCCCATCTTCAAGTAATAACGCGATTCGTACGCAGATGAGCGGGACAGAAGCTCGGTATGGTCCGTCTCAGCACAGCTCAATAACAACGCAAGACGCTTCGCCCCAGGCGGGTTCTCCCCAGCTACGTTTTTTATTCACATGAGAAGCTAGAAAGCAAGTAGAAGTTCAGGGCCAACAATATAAATAGGGATATCTGGGTCACCCACGGAAATTTTGACCTCGTTGCCCTAGGTCAGCACTGTTGTTTCCAGAGTATAGCTACCGTCATTGCAATGCACCATGGTCGGCACTCCTGCAACCCAACATCCCAATGGAGCCCGCCTGCTTGCCCTCGATGGTGGCGGCGTCCGTGGTGTCTTATCCCTCGTCATTTTGCGGGAGATTATGCGCCGGATCCAGGAGAGAAAAGCGCTGCCTGATGAGCCACGCCCTGTGGACTACTTTGAGCTCGCTGCGGGAACGAGCACTGGGGGCATCATCGGCATCATGCTCTTTCGACTGCGCATGACGGCTACCGAGGCTATCCGACAGTACGATGTCATAGCCGAGGACGTTTTCAAGCCCAAGATCCATGGCTGGCGTATTGACTGGCTCGGAGATACAATCTCATCCTGGGTAAACAACAGCAAGATGCTTGTCCAGTATACTCGATTTGACGACGCATCCTTGATAAAGGCCATCAACCAGGTTGTAGGAGAACACGGCTTGGACAAAATCGACAAAAAGTTGAAAGGAGAGGCCCTTCTTCAACACCCGGCAGCTGGCAAGATGTAAGAGAAATCCCTCAAGGTCCCGTAGTGCGTAATAGTCTAATGCTTGGAAACCAAGGCTTGTGTGCACAACAGCCCAAGACAGAGCTGAAACGGTTCTGATGAAGACGTACAAGGACAACAATAACTATGTTTCTTCTGTAGCCAACAACATCATGAGAGACAACAGGGACGGAATCACAATGAGTTATGCGACGAGGGCCACCTCCGCGGCCCCGACGTACTTCCCCGAAGTCAAGTGGCCCACGGCAGAGACGAGGTCACTCACCTTTTGGGACGGAGGACTCCTGAACAACAATCCCATCGACCAGCTGTGGTATGCCAGATACGACCTCGTCCAGCCGGGTGAGCCCGAGCCCAAGGTTTCCTGCGTCATTAGTCTCGGTACGGGGTACACCAAGTTCGACTCTCCGTCCGACTCCTGGTTCCGGCTTCCAGCGATCGCGACAACGGTCATGGCCTTTGCCACCAACACCAATGCCAAGGGTAAAGACTTTTCGAGGCATATGACAACGCTCAACAAGAGGGCGGAGCATGCTAATACGAGGTACATCCGGTTCAACCCGTCCCTCAAAGAGCACAATATTGGTCTTGCGGATTACAAGCAGATGGAGTTGCTGAAGAAGCTTGCTATGGACCACATTGAGGATCCCTCATCGGATGTATGGTTTGAAAAAGCGGTTGACGCTATTTGCTGCTAGGTAGAGTGTGTGGAGATGGCCTCGACGAGTTGTTGGCTATAACCGTTGATATTGTATCCGTATCGTACTTCCAATAGCCTGGATGGGTATGGGGCAACTTACCTTGGCGTTGTGTTCTGTCCAATGAACTCGTGTCTGAGTCACTGCATCAAGTTGACGGTTAAAACAATTTGGGAAATACCTCGGTCCAGCTCTTCTTCATGGACTCACGTTCATTTTCGAACCCGCCGGATCCGCTTCTTTCTTGATGAGGTTTCAAGGGGTCTCCCATGAGCAATTGTGAACACATCAAACTGGTTTTCAATCCAAGAAATCCTTCCGGCCGAGTTATCCACTTCAAACCGCTGCAGACCGATGTAAGCCATCTCGGTCGGCTGAACGGTCCTGACGCCGTCCGATTGTGACAAGCTTTGAATCGCCCCCCCCCCAAACTTCCTCCGACCTCGCAGCCGATAAAGGGTCTAACAAGGGAAACAGGTCCCTTTGTTCGTGGTTGCCTTGTACCGTGTACGGCAGTGGGGTCTGGGGTCCGGAGTGGGTGAGGATTCCGGGTCTAGCGCACGCCGAGACTTGGACCGATGGGGTGGTTTCGCATCTCGACTCACCCAGACGGGCGGTCAGCGTCGGGTCGGGGTGCGGCTGGCTGGCTGGCTGGCGGCTCGCAATCAAGCATTGCATGCCCACATGAGAGCGCGGAGAAACCGTCGGGGGGGCCTGGCAAGAATGCGGAATCGGCTTCGGCTTAGGACCGCACCCGCTGTTGGGTCAATTTCCCATGGTGTCGGTCTCGGTTGACAGAAGCACCTGAGAATGGGAAACTGGCGACTTCGCGTCCGTCAGGTGCAGTGATTAGATCCCATTTCTGCCCCAGAATCGTGACTTGACCTCTGTGATGGTTACCTGCCTCGACTCTAGCAGTCTTACTCCACTCACAAGCAGCGCATCTACCGAAGTTTAAAGATATCGCAGATCATGGATGTAAGGCGGGAATGCGAGTACGTCCCCAAGACCGGCGCAGTTTTTCGAGGCTTGAAATGCGCTTTTCTGGCTGGGTGGATGGCTGCAGAAGGCGGGTCGATTATTAATCCAGGTTACACAGGACCATGTTGGAGCCTTGGGAGGACAACACATTGGCTGAGCGAAGGTGTAGAAACACGCCCGTAGGTTGGCTGTGGCGTTCAGCTTACGAGTTTGGGTGTGAACGGCCTCTCACCGTCAGACGGGCCTGTCTTCGACACCTATTGACTAGCGGAACATGCCATGAGATAGGCAGGCTGCGACATGACCTGCGCCGGCACGCAGGCAAAGTCGCCAAATAGAAAGCGAGCTTAATGCTCTGATCTGCAGCTTACCAGCTGAGGGCGACAAGTCTAGTGCATCCTTTGCGAACACATGGAACTTCGGAGATGCAGAATCGGCATGACGGTTCTGGAAAGCACCATGGAAATTGCCCTGTCATGCTGTGCCAGGACCAACGTCCCAACGTCCCCCAGGATTGCTTCGTACTTGCGATATCAGCATCCTCCTCCAATGTCCACTGACGACCTTATATAAGTCCATAGAGCTTGAGTCTAAAGCAGCATCATGTCTGAGAACACTGAATCTCGACAATGTGTTTACACTGAATCAAATCACACGGTGGTATAAACAGCCGCCGGCCAACCGACGGCGCCCTATCTCAGCTACTACTGCTTACCCTCACTCCGCAACCCCTCCGCCAAATGCGACCAGCCTTTCCCATACGCAGACGCACATGGAAGACGCCGGCGCAGGCGCAGGCGCAGATGTGGGGGGTGATCCCTCCCCCCGTCCGAAGGGTGTGCATAGTAAACTTGTCAAAAGACTGCCAACTTGCGCCCTTCTGATGACACGACCCATTGTAATCCGGGTCTGGCGAGCCAACCATAGGTGACTCTGACTTGGACGCTCCTCGACGCCAGAGTCCATCTGGCTTGATCCGATCTTCTGAGCTGGAGGATAGCCTTTGAATAAAAGATTTCGTCGCCTGGAATTCATCTGTCCAGACTTGTACCCTTTTCTTTCTTATACCTTTTTGCCAATTTGCCTCCGTGGGACTTGGATTTGTCAACTCCAAAGGTCGGTCTACCATCTCGACCGTCTCGGTTGTAACTTGTCGTGAGAAAGATTACATTGGGCGGGGCTCACCAACGCCCTTCCGTCTCTCTGACGACTGACAAGCCCATTGACATCGACATCGGCATCGGCATCGACGCGACGCATTGAGCAATACCGCGCCCTATCGATCTACATTTCATCTGCAGGACGTCTCTCCATGCCATTCACGCCCTTCAGAAAGGTGCCCAAATCAGTCCGCGCCCTGCACTAAGGGCCAGTCTGTACCATGACAACCATCCCCGAAGACATGGACGAATTCGTCAACTGGGAGGCTGCCGCTACCGAAATGGGCAACATCTTCAACATGCCCACTCAGGACGTGCCACCCACCGATCCTAATCTGGACCTGGTACTGGAGAATGCCGACGACGACGACTTTGGATTTGTCGCCCTAGAGCACTTTTCCGGGGAACTTGCACCAGGAGCTGGTCTGACTGGTGGCAACCCCCTCGAATTGGTCGACATGCAACTCTCCAGCGCCCAGGAGGACTGGTGGTTCGCTCCCGAAACTCCTTGCAACAATTGCATCCTTGGCGGCTTTTCATGCAAGCAGATCAAGGAGGGAAAGTTCAAGTCGTACTGTACTTCGTGCGTCGCCCTTCGGAGTGAATGCAGCTTGGCTGAGCATCTGCCTGGCCTGGCTGATCTCGACGATTCTGATGCCATCCCATCCCAAAACCCCTGGCCCATCATGGGAGACCACCCCCGCGCCGTTCAAGAAGATGACTCCATGGACTTGATGTTGTCTCTGAACACTTGGCCTGCGATGGGTGATCATCCTCGTGGTGTCCTCGAGGATAACGTCCTTGCTGCTGGCCTGCCCGAGACATCGACACCAGATTTGTTGAGAGGCATGACCGCTGCAGCCGATGAGGCTGTCGTGGCAGCACAGAGAAAGACGGCTACTCCGGCCAAAGTTGGTGCCCGTTTCTCGCGCGAATCTGTCCGTATTCTGAAAAACTGGCTTTCGACGCACACTCGCCATCCTTATCCGAGTGACGAAGAGAAAGAGATGCTTCAGCGTCAGACTGGCCTCAACAAAACCCAGATTACCAACTGGCTTGCCAACGCTCGTCGTAGGGGCAAGACGCAGGCCCCTCGTTCCACTTCACCTCACCCGCGCAGCTACAGCGGTGCCATTGACATTCCTCAAAGGCGGGGAACTCCTGCACCGGACGGCAGAGTGCGCAACATGAATCCCTTGGAGCGTTGGGTTGACTCCCCGCCGGAAAACGAACCCGCTACGGTGTCTGCTATTGCTCTCGCCGTGGCGTCCAGTTCTGGAGCTTCGTCATCAGGTATGATATTTCGGGTCTGGCGTATCATCATGTAGCATTAAGCTAACCTTTTTCCAGGTCTCACGAGCCCATACAGCTTCAACTTCACCGACGACGGATCAGGCAAGTCACTCTGCAATGCTTCCTCGGCCAGCTCTCTCGGAACCTCCCACGGAACCTCCCACTCCAGCGGCGGCTCGTTTGCGTCCGCCTATTCTCATGCCTCCCGTGGCTCATTTGGCTCATTCGGGTCCTTCAACCGCGGCCGTAGGCGCCGCAGGAGGCGAGTCGGCACCAAGGTTGAAGAGAAGACCGCTCTCGCTGCTCCTCCCAAAACCTTCCAATGTACATTCTGTACCGAAAGTTTCAGGACCAAGCACGACTGGCAACGGCACGAGAAATCTCTTCATCTTTCCCTCGAGAGGTGGGTGTGTGCCCCTGATGGACCGGTTGCACTCAACCCGGCGACAAATCAGCTCGCCTGTGTGTTCTGCGGGGAGGCCAACCCCGACAAGGCCCATATTGAGAGCCACAATCATTCAGCATGTCAGGAGCGGCTGCTTCAGGAGAGGTGCTTCTACCGGAAGGATCATCTGAACCAACACTTGCGCCTCGTCCACGACTGCAAGTTTGTCGACTGGTCCATGAAGGCCTGGAAGGTCGCCACACCAGAGATTCGGTCACGATGCGGTTTCTGTGGCGTGGTCTTGGACAGCTGGGGGTCACGAGTGGAACACATCGCCAACCATTACCGTAGTGACGGAAATACGATGGCGGATTGGAAGGGTGACTGGGGTTTTGAAGCACCGGTGCTCGAGATGGTCGAGAACTCGATCCCGCCATGTATGCACCGACCCCTCAGCTATCCCGTAGATAAGCTTCCAAAGTCTAACTTGTGGTAATACAGATCTCATTGACAATGAGCGCAACTCGCCCTATCCATACAAAGCCAGTGGCTCCCCAGCGGAAACCCCTCGCAACGCGTACGAACTGATCAAGATCGAGCTGGCATACTTCATGCAGAACCACTACGATAAGCACCAAACCCTACCAGACGACCGTCAGATGCAACTGGAAGCCTGTCGTATCATTTTCGCCTCTGAAATATTGTCGATCCGGGAAATCTCATCCGAATTTTCCTGGCTGCGTGATCTGATCATGTCAGACGAGGAAGTCAAACTATCAGCGAAATACGGTCCCATACGTCAGGCGGCTGAAAATAGGCTGTCTTCTTTGAAACTAGCATCCAAGGATACCATTTTCCAAACTTGTCCTTTGGAGAACCAGCTTCACGAGTTCGTCAGAGCGAAGAGGCTCCTTGGGCTCACCGCTATGGATGATGAGCTGCAACAAACGGCGGCTGAGATTGTTGGACGTGTCGAGGAAGTTTCCATCAGTCCCTCGGATCACATTGCCAGTTGGCTCGTACGGTGTATCTTCTCTTCGACCAACTGGCTTGCCAACTTTCGGCAACGAGCCCATCTTCCCAGAACCGAGGACATTGTGGTTGTGAATGAGCGGTCGACAGACACCACCAAGATCGACTCGACTATCCACAACTACAGCAGGCTGGAGCACTCCTTGGCAGATTTTGTGGACAAGCAGAGGGCGTTGGGGGTCGAACCGGACGACGCAGCCTTGCAGCGAGAGGCCAGGATGGTCATTTACGAGTTCGACGACGGCTGGAACCAGACCGCCGCCGACAACCTCGACTGGCTCGCCGCCTTCAGGCAACGCCATCAGCCTACTCCTGCTTCGGGATCAACCTTGACCACCTCGCCCGAGTCTCAAAGCCAACAGTCACTCCAGCTTTCGGGCTCCGGTGTCTCGCCCACGAGCTTCCAAGCTACCAACACTTTGAGCAACCCGATCCCTTCTTTCTTGACTGCCGAGACGGCCGCGGCGTATTTGCCGGCTGATCAGGCTTCCCTGCCTCGTGGCGTCAAGACAGGACCGTTCTTCTTGAACGACGCAAACTGCTACCGCCGTCTGGCACGTACATTGACAAAGTATACTTTGGCGGCCATGTCGTCAGACAACCCCAACAGACATACGCCGTCAGATGCTGAGTTGCAGCTCCAAGCACGGCTCATTCTCTACGATGAGTAAGTCATTCTGGGGACGTAAATTTAAAAAGTAAATGTAAAACCCGTGCTAATTGCCTGATAGTGATGATCCATGGAACCAAACCGCAGCCGACAACGCAGAATGGTTGCGACGCTTCAAGAGGGACGTTGGCATTATCGCGGAGCCCGGGCCCGGCCTCCCGCCCGGCGACGCCTGGTCCCTCGAGCAAGGCGGCACAGGCTTCGCGCCCCCGTACGCCTTCCCCAAAGGCAACATGGCGCCTTTCAGCGAGAAGACGACGGAGGTGCCGATCCGGAACGTCAAGATCTTCCAGACGGACTCGAGCATCACCAACAAGTATCTCGAGACCTTCAAGACGCGCTACCCCAAGCCCGCAACCATCTTCTGCGCGCGCGAGCTCGAGGACGGCTTGGTTAAGTTTGTCGAGTCGGAGATCACTCTGACGGGACAGTTCCCGGACGACGAGGCGATCCGGGCAAAGGCGCGGATTATCCTCAACTCTGCCGAGACCGCCGCGGACGACCCTGTTCTGCTGGGCAAGTTCAAGGGCTGGATGATGACGCGGGGCCAGCTTCCCGGTCAGCAGCAGCAGCCGCCGTTACTTGTTCGTCCACAGCCCAGACGACTGCCTACGCCGGCACCGACAGTGTCACCCGCCCCCGCTGTACCTTCGGGCCTGGACCTGACGCTCTCGGATGCGGAGATGAACGATATCCTACAGGACATGAACTTTGACCTGAGCGCGGCCGACTTGGAGGGCCTTGACGTGGCCATGGGAATGGATTTCGGAAGTGGCGCGGGAACTGCGTGCTAGTCCATCGGGCGGTGACGCAGTTGCTGCGTTTTCTGACATGCCATTGACGAGAAGATCTTGCAGTTCTACCTCGCGGAGGAATCGGGATTGATTACGTTCGAATGATGGACTAAAGTATGAAAAGAATGTGTAGACGCCGATTTGAACGAGCTCGAAAAAGAAAAGCAACCGGATAGGATCACGGAACGGATAGGGGGAGTTGACATTGTTGGATTTGACTTGTATACCCGAAAATAATCTCATCACTTAAAATGAATCTTTTCCACCTTGTGACCTTCCCATGCGTTTGGAGGTTTTCTCTTGTTTCCAAATCTTGTGTCTCCTCAGTGGTCTTCTCCACAACGGTTCGAGACGAGGGCAAGAGTACGGAAAGTCGTAGAGTTATACATGAATATAGGGCTATACAGAAGTATCGGCCTCGACGAAGTACAAGCATTGCAAGTAGAGCATCTCATCTTTCTAGTTCTCTTAGCACGGAAGTGGCTTGTCGCAGGCTAGATCGTGGACTGCACTGGACAGGCACTGTGTGCAAAACAGTACATATCGCAAGTAAGGGGGGAAATTGTTAGGTGATAGGCCACAGTCACGCCATGCCCATATCCGTTATGCCTAGACAGTTAACATAACGGACGTCTTCACACTGTACACGCATCCTCCTCACTCGACGACACGCTTACGCCTCACCGTCAGCTTCTGAGCTCAATAAACATTGTTTTCCACGAATGACTTCACTGTTGGCCAATATCCACTTCAAATCACCAGTGAACATTTGTGGTTCTAAGCGCATCAGAACCTACCCATCACTCACAATAGCCCTGGGAAGTGGCGGACAATGAGCTCGACGAACAACCGTTCCAGGATGCGGCAAAGACCTCCCAAGGCACCTCCCGTCTTGGACGTGCCGAATATCGAGGAGGATGCACCGGAAAGAAAGCGGGTGTTGAACGTCTTGGCCCAGCGTAGATACCGTGAGTTTCACCGCCTCGCCGACCTCCTTAGTTCCCCTCTACATTGTACTGCACATGGCCCTGGTGGCGCGCCTTTGTCACATCTCGACGGCATCGAGGCTGACTCTGAAGCAGGCGAACGCAAGAGACAAGACCGCCTCGCCAGGGAAAAGGGACGCGCCGATGGCCCAGAGCGCTCGGTGTCTGAGACATGCGCTGACAACGGCTCTCTGGCTGCTGCTGCTGGTGCTGCTCCACCCGTTCCTGATGCCATTGACCCGATTGAGCAGATTGCAGACCGCCGCCCTCCAGTGAACAGTGAACGAGATGGCGCTACTGTGGAATTCAATCTGGACGCATCTACGGCGTGGCACGCCGATCTCTCAGACGACAACTCAATATCGGAGCTGTTGTATGGTGCAAACCCTCCAATTTTCGACCATAACCCAGACGGCGAGACCGCGACGGAGGTCCTGCCCAGTCCGCCTTCGACCATTGATCCAGCTTCCCTGATGGACTGCGCATCGCTTTCCTCTTCAGAGTTTCCCGACAGCTACCTTCTACCCTTGAGCGACCTGAAGCTTCTCACTGGACTGCTTCGGGTAGCCACTCGACTAGGTTCGGAGTCTGTCATGTGGGATCCTGCGGCGACTTCGCCGTTCAACCTAGGGGCGGGGACGCCGGTCGAGCAGCTGCCCGAGATGTGGAAGCCGACGGCGGCTCAGGTCCTGGTGCCTCATCATCCGATCATGGACTTCCTGCCGTGGCCGGGCGTCCGCGATCGGATCATCAACCTGTTCAGTCTCCCTGACGGGGCGAGACCGCCCGCAGCACGAGGCCAGCTGGGCCTGGTCAACTTTGCCTACGACCTCGAAGATTCAAGTGAAGGGGCTCGTATCTGGGGCGGAGACCCGTACGATGCGTCATGCTGGGAAGTAGGTCAGGTCCTTTTCGAGAGATGGTGGTTCTTGTTCGACAGGAGTGTGATTGCACAGAGCAATAAGTGGCGGTCGTTGAGGGGTGCCGAGGCATTGCAGATGCGGCCAGGCAGTGTGGTCGACTTGACCGATGCCGTTTAAGCGCCCTGCATAGAACAGTAGACCGACCAGGAGGCAAACCAAGAGTCAAACCAATACTATTGGCATTAGCACTACGGCACTGCCGAGGGTCAATCTAGGCCACAGGGCCTTTGGTGCTTTTCTCACTCACTCGTGAACATTTGACAACCAGACGGGAGATATTTAGGCTCCATTCACTCGACAAAGGTCTATTGCCACAATCAATGCCGAGTTGAGCTGAGATTTGTCAGGCATCCAACTCGCATCCTCTCGAGTCTCGATGAGTGAGAGTACCCAGAAAAAAGCATGCGCAGCCGGACTGAGGTTAGATGCGCGACATGCAGCAGACGGGCGGTCGGGCTACTGCATGTAGCCGCGGGAAGCGAGATGCTTGGCCGGAGCTTATTGGCCTCGCTTGGAAGCAAGTGTGGGAGTAAGTCAATCACTCAGACAGTGTCCCGCAGGAAAAGGAATGATGAACTGTCAGTGGCCGATCTGGAAAGCATCGCGTACTGTGCTGCGTGTTACCTCGGAGCTTGGGCCGTTGTCACGGTCGGACTCGGTTGCAGTGATCCGGGGACGTCGGCCGCTTTGTGACGGGGTGTTGAGATGACCGATGTATTCAAAGCTCCCCATGGACCAACTTGAACCAGTCGAGGCATGACACAGAATGCCATTCTTTTGCAGGACATTTTGCTTTTGCCAAGATGGTTACTGCACGGGAGTGACCAGCGGACGTCATTTAAGATGGTTCCCGGGATGTACTGCCCAACAAACCTGTGCGGCCGACTTGTTTTATAGTTTGGGCGAAGGGATGGGTGTTTTGATCTCCCGTTTTTCCCGGTCCCCGTTTCCTGCTTCCCGAGATTTTGGGAAACGTTTGTTGGTCGAGAGAAACTGAGCAACGGGTTGCGGCCGTTTCATCGACAGATGCACCAATCACAGCAGCCGAGGGACCCCATCCGTGTGTAATCACGTAATACGTGGTAGAAACTAAAACACAGAGATCAGCTAAGGTCCTGTGTCGCAAGAGGGTGCAGTGCCTTATCTGGAGAAATGGAGCACATACCCCCATGGAGCTTAGCACTTAGGAGCTATCATCTGTGGTCCTGTGGAGGACGAACAGTCGGAGGCGGGTGGAGCGCGCGAGGCGCCAGAGGCTGGAAGTGGCCGATCGCCGACGACGGACCTGAGGGCGGGAAGGGAAGGCCCTGGTCGGAATAAACTTCCCACGGTGCGAAAGCGGCGGGCTTGGTTGGTGTGTGTGGTGTCGGGGAGCAATGAGCTGGGAGAGGGTGTACCTGACGTAGTGTAGGTCGTCCGGTCTGGCGGTGAAGGGATGAGGCGGCCAAGAAAGTATCCGGTCCTTTCGTCAGGCACATGCCACCAAGACACACACTGCAGTCATTGCGATGAGTCTTCGCCAGGAGGAACCTCCTTGGAGATGAGATTCACTTATGTCAGGGCTCATTTGTATGAGGAGGAATTTAATGACTAAGATGGAAATTCAACAAACCCAATGTATTCGTATCGTAGCTACCTTATAAAGCACCTGGGAACATGACAGTTTTTCTGCCGCACCCCGCAGTTACACAGGGCAGGGACGATCACCTCATCGATGGAGGGTCACTGAGGGCACCACCTCGTCAATCCAGGAAGGTGGGGGCACTCAGAGTCACTCTCAAGACTCACGGTCCTCGGTGCGGTATCCGTACCTTACTTGCCTACCAGTGTGCCTCAACGAAATGGAGGGGCAGTCGCTAATCATTGGTCTCTGTCGTGCATGCTTCCCTCCTTGTTCGGAGCTGTAATGCAGCAAGACCGTGGGCTGGGGGGATCTGGAACTGGATGCCACGTCTACGTACCTCTTTTTTTTTTTTCCCTTCCCTCCGAAGCGTCGCCTCTCTTCCCCCGGCCTGTTACTTCCTAGGGTAGCACATCTCGGCCGATGTTGTGAAATTCCCAAACTTCTTTCCCCCTTCATACCTCAAAGTCCTATTCCCTTCAGTTGCCTTTTTATTTCCTTTTTCGGTACTTCTGGGACTTGTCTACCGCGCAGATCCGGGGACCGGTGCTAGGAGACACGTACCATACGCTTGAGCCAACGAGATTGTTTGGTGAGTTTATCTTCCCTTGCTTCACAATGTCGAGACTTTTTCTCCTGGCGTTCCTTAAACACGCGCCTTTTACCCCTCCACCATTCCATTTGTACCGCCCGCCATTCCACCCCGCTACTTCTAGCCTTTCTGCCTCGCTATCCCCCTTGCCTCCGGCATTTTCACGCCACTTCTAAATAACCTCACTTTCCCATACAGGCCGTCCGCTCCCCTTCATTTTACCCTTCGTCTCTGATCACTCTAGTCAATTGAGTCTGACAAGCTTGCCTACAGCACCCGGCGAGTCTAGCGAGCCCTTCGGCGGCCATTATTCACCTCTGACCCAATCCGAACTACCTGAAAAATTCCACCGACACAATCGCCAATATGCATATCAAGGCTATGCTCGACGAGTCCCAGAGGACGGGCGAGCCCTCCTTCTCCTTCGAGTACTTCCCTCCCAAGACAGCCCAGGGTGTTCAGAACCTCTACGATCGTATGGAACGCATGTACCATTTCGGTCCCAAGTTCATCGACATTACATGGGGTGCTGGCGGCCGCATCGCTGAGCTCACCTGCGAGATGGTCCTCCAGGCCCAATCCATTTACGGTCTCGAGACCTGCATGCACCTGACTTGCACAGACATGGGCATGGAGAAAGTCAACGATGCTTTGCGCAAGGCCTACAAGGCCGGCTGCACCAACATCCTTGCCCTGCGTGGCGATCCCCCGAGAGAGCACGAGAAGTGGGAGGCCACCGACGACGGCTTCCGTTACGCAAAGGACTTGGTCAAGCACATCCGTGCTACGTACCATGACCACTTTGACATTGGCGTTGCTGGCTACCCCGAGGGCTGCGATGATAATAAGGATGAGGAGCAGTTGCTAGATCACTTGAAGGAGAAGGTCGATATGGGTGCCACCTTCATTGTCACACAAATGTTCTACGACGGCGACAACTTTGTTCGCTGGGTCGGCAAGGTTCGCGAGCGCGGCATTACCATCCCCATCATTCCGGGTATCATGCCCATTGCCACCTACTCCAGCTTCCTGCGCCGCGCCAAGCACATGAACTGCAAGGTGCCCGAGGAGTGGATGACTGCTCTAGAGCCCATCAAGAACGACGATGTTGCGGTCAGAGAGGTTGGAAAAGGCCTTGTTGCCGAGATGTGTCGGAAGATTGTTGCTGCCGGTATTCATCACCTGCATTTCTATACCATGAACCTGGCTCAAGCCACAAGAATGGTTCTCGAGGAGCTCAACTGGATGCCCACGAGCGACCGCCCCGTGAAGCATGCCCTTCCCTGGAAGCAGTCTCTGGCCCACGGGCGTAGAGAGGAGGATGTCCGCCCCATCTTCTGGAAGGGTCGCAACAAGTCCTACGTTCTCCGAACCCAGGACTGGGACGAGTTTCCCAACGGACGCTGGGGTGATTCTCGATCTCCCGCTTTCGGCGAACTGGATGCCTACGGCATTGGCTTGACCGGCACGAACGAGCAAAACAGGAAGAAGTGGGGTGAGCCCAAGTCGGTCAAGGATATCGCCAACATCTTTGTCCGCTACCTTGAGACTGAGCTGGACTCACTACCCTGGAGTGAGGCACCCCTGACAAGTGAAGCTGATCCTATTCGGGAAGAGCTCATTGGACTGAATAAGCGTGGCCTCCTGACCATCAACTCTCAACCTGCCGTTGACGGTGTGAAGTCGTCCCATCCAGTACACGGCTGGGGACCGGCAAATGGCTACGTTTACCAGAAGGCCTACCTTGAACTCCTCGTTCACCCCGATGTGTATAAGGAGATCGTTGCTCGCGTCGAGAAGAACCCTGACATGACGTACTACGCCACCACCAAGACTGGTAACCTGAAGTACAACGCTTCAAATGACAGCCCCAACGCCGTTACGTGGGGTGTATTCCCGGGCAAGGAGATTGTCCAACCCACCATCGTCGAGGGCATCAGCTTTATGGCCTGGAAGGACGAGGCTTTCCGTTTGGGTATCGACTGGGCACACTGCTTCGAGGCTGGGTCTCCCAGCAGAACCCTTGTTGAGCGTATCATGAATGAGTGGTACCTCATCAACATCGGTGAGTCTTGCTCGTCAGTCTGAGCCTATCTGACAGTAACGCTAACAATACCCAGTGAACAACGACTTCCACCAAAAGACAGCTCTATTCGATTTGCTCGAGGGCCTCGAGGTCAAGGAATACAGCGATATTCCGTCTGAGTCTCAGACCAACGGAGCGGCCAAAGAACAACAAAACAACGGCAACGTCCCTGCCGCAGTTGCGGCGAACTAAATAACGATTCATTCTGACTTGTGTTTAACACACCCCCTTTACTATTTACTTAAGTATGCATCATGAGCGGCGTTTTCAACAGGGAAAAGGGGGGTCAACTTTGTTTTTTCAACAAAAAACTTTTCACGTCGGGCATGTTTTCATCCACGGCATTTAAGCGGTAAACGCATGAGGTGAAACCAAAAACCACATACGCAACACCACACACCAAAAGTCAAGAAGAGGAAACGGACAGGACGGGAAAGCAACGGAGCAAATGCATATATCTCAACGATACCCCCGAAATAAACGGACCATGATGTTTTTTTTTCCCCAACGAGAAAAAAAGGTCTGGGAGAACCATACACCAAACCAAAGAGCTAGGAGTTTCAACACGGGTCTGATTTTTTTTAAGACGAATTCCCTTTATTAGTCACAGCGTTCGAAACTTTTCGCGTTGGATAGCCGCGACACGCTGTGCATGCTATGGAATGGGGGAAACGTCGAAGAAACGCAGGGGAAGAGGATGGTCACGACTGCAGTAGGAGGCGACTGCGGCAGGTCACAAAAGCGGGAGACGAATTGAGAGGATAGAGGATAGTTGAAGGTCAGAGGGGACTTGTGGACTAGGTTCGTCGTCTAGTCTATCTTCAAAGCCAAATCAACTTGGGCTGGACTGTTCTCTCGAAGTTACGATTCTGCTGTCCTCCTAACGCAGTGATGCTTATTTATGTGATTCGCTACAGTGAATCGTGTTTGGTAGGGAACCGGGTGGTGAAGAGATAAACGGGTCTTCAGTCGATTTCATCACGCTGTACTATTTCTGTCCTCGCTGGCAATATCTCTGCCGTCGACGACATTCCACCTCGATTCCCTCCTGATCCCTTCCAAACTCTTCCCATAGAGCCGATTCCAAGTCCTTACCTCTATTCTCAGGCGGCCATACCATGATCAGCAGTGTCACATTCACCCTCCACGCCCTGGCAATCACAAGCAAATTCCTTCTTGAACGCCTGCCTGTCCATGTCGGAGAATTTCGCGATAGCCATTTTGGCGACCGCAACCTTGGCATACCTGCCGCTCGCAGCGGTCGCGTGAAAACAGACTTGACCGTGTATCATGATGCCGCAGAGGACCTGGGTGTCGGTGATGACGCCGGCGCCCGCCTCCACAGGGGGCACGACCTCGCTGGTCATCAGACGCCACCCATCGCAGCCGAAATAGTTGCGTAACATGTGGGAGACGTTGGTGACCGGGTGGTTCAGGGCGTAGTCGCTGTAGAGCGACATGTCCGTGAAGAAGGGGCGGACGTGCGCTTCGAAGAAGGCGCGGACTTGACCGTAGTCGTAGCCAGAATCGACAAAGACGGCGCCGATATACGCCTCTACCACATCGGAGAGGTATTTGGGCGGGTCTTCTATATGCTGCCAGTAGGTCACCGAGGCGTTTTCTGCGGCCTTGACCTGCTGACTCTGAGCAGATCCATCGCTCATCTTTCCCTCAGTAGCTTCTTTGGGTTCTTGTTGTTGAGCCTCTTCTCTGGCGTTTTGTTCAGAAATCTTAAGCAAGGCGACGAAATCTTGAGTTTGGTTCAGCAAAGAGGCCTGAGCAGTTAAGATGTGTCTGTGAAGACCCAGCTTAACGCAGAGGCAGGCCAAGAAGCGATTGCTGACCATGGTACTCTTGTGGCGTGTGAGCCACTCGGGATCGGCGTTAGGGAATTTGTAGTAGAGAAAGTCCACGCAAACCATGTCGAGGAGGGCATCGCCGAGGAATTCCAAACGCTGGTAGTTTGGCAGCAGAGGCTCAAAAGCTTGAGGATATGATGGATGCCTGAAAGCACTACGGAGTAGCGCGGGTGACTTGAACTCGTAACCCATCTTCTCCTTGACCTGACGGGCTACATCCTGCTGCATTTTGGTGGCATCCGCTAACTGCCACGGAGGAGGGTTGTACCCGGCGTAGTAGTCTGCCCATGAGGTCATACGATGGCTCTTGTCATTCACCATAGCGCTGACAGCCCTGATCGCCATGTCGAAGTTGTTTGAACCACTGTAAGTGAGGTAGGCAGCGCCAATCAGGGCCTCACAGACGTCGGCGATGGATTTGTCCGCAAGAGCGTGGTTGGCGTTATATGTTCCTTGCTTGCCTCGAATTAGACGGAGGCCTTGAGGGTACCAGCTACGACGGCTGAACGACTTTGATCGCACGTACTCCTGTAGGTTCCGGTCGATAGCCTTATTCAAGAGGTTCCGGTTGCTGATTAACAGCATTCGCTCGACATGGTGTTCGAATTCACTGTGGTCTGGCTTGTTGGTGAAGAGGGCAATGGTTGTAGCCATCTTCAAGCAGGTATCGCCAATGAATTCCAGTCGCTCATAGTTGTTCCCCATTCCACCCTGGAAGTTGATTTTCTCCGCATCATGCTCGTCACTGTTGTCGGAGTCTTTGGTGACAGCTTCGAGGGCTAGGTCTGGCCGAATATCGAGCTTCAGCAGTCTGCACAAGTCAAGGGCAATCATGACCTGATCCATACGATGGATGATTGCAGGAAAGGTGAAGGCCATGGCGACTGTCTCGAAAGGTAACTGTAAATGTCAGATGACGAGCTCCTACTTAAGAGGAATGGAACTTACAGTTGAGACCCTCAAGGGTTCCAAGATAAGGTAGCAAACCGTGGACTCTTCGTTCGTAACCTCCACAAAGTCGTCAAGCAGATTGCGTCTCAAAGAGATCACTTCAGCCTCGACTACAGGCTGAGTATCGCGCCATGTCCTTTTCTGACGACTCTTCATCCAGAGACTCACGCTGTACTCTTTGATGTTCTTCTCCACTGCCGAGTCACGCCAAGGTTTGTGGCCAGGGTCAGGAACGCCCTCGGGCACAGGATCCATCGGCTTCAAGTCCCTGCGAACTCCCCTCAAGCGAAACTTGCGGGATCCCGCGTAAGGATCGATAACGAGCTTATATTTGAAGAACTCATCTGAGGTGCCGTCATCCCAATCCAGGTACTCTTTGTCGTTGGTCATTCGAAGGTGGTTCCAATCAACCAACTTAGCTCCATCTGCATTTTGAAGGTCGGTAAAATGATCATGAGTGGTTGGAGCGAGAAAGTAAGGCATGTCGGATACTTTAGCCTCATACTCCTTACTGAAAATGTCCTTGAAAACACGTAAAGTGAAGGTCCTCAGAAGCTCTGAATCCTCTTGTGAGACCTTGATTGGCTTCGGCAGGGACTCTATCATGGCATCAGACTGCTGATTGTTTCCAAAGAACAGAGGGACAGGAGGAAGATCGGGCAATTTCTCTCTAGAGAGGAGAAGTAGTGGCTTTGACTCTTTCTCTTTGCCAAGGGCATCTGGCGAGCCGAGAGCCAAGATCGTGACGTACAGTTGATCAAAAGGACCAACTCGAGACCATATTTCAGGCTTGTTACGCATCTTGTACTCTGCCCTTTTGTTGGCGCTGATTGCTAGACGGGCATTCCGCATTGCGGGTAGCTTCTTGGTGAAAACTGGGCGTAAGTTGAGATCGATGAACTTCTTCTTGATCAACTCTTTACACATCTCGAATGCTGCAGAGCAGCGGGCAGCCTGCTTCTTCTTGTGTGGCATTCCTGTTTTGCTTAGAATTGGAGACTTCGTCGGCAGCTGAACTTCAGCGATGAAGTACTGTCCTTGGTTGGTTACTACATACTCAGGCGCCAAGACTTCATTGCTGGACTGGCGCAGCGAAGACGCGAAGTTGGCCAAAACCTCAAGGCTAGACATCCACGTCAGCTTCGCGCCGGTCTCCTTGATGGTGTATGTCTGGTAGTGCAAATCTCCTTGCATAACACTCGCGTTGATATCTATTCCCATGATCTTTTTGTCTTCTGGCAAGGCGCTGCAAAAACGGCGAAGGATATTCTCGTCATACGTAGCCTGCGCCACCGCTCGACTATGCCTTCCATTTCCCATCTCGATGAAGGAGAGATACTCTGAATCCTGTTGTCTGGCGCGTCCTTTTGACTGAATATACTGGATGACGGATTTGTAAAGGTCAAATCGCATGACCATATTGCAGGCAGGAATATCTATTCCCTCCTCGGCAACCTGAGTGGAAAAGATGCAGTTGACTTCACCCCGTCTGAACTTTGTGATGTTCAAGAGCTGTTCCTTGAAGGACATGCTGGCGAGGCCCGCAGTGGACTGGCTACCGACGAGTGCGGCCGGCTTGAGGTGCGGCAGTTTCATGCCGTCCTGCTTGAACAAGTCGGCGAGCAGCACTGCAGTGAGTCTCATCTCCACGAAAACGATGCACCGATAATCAGTCGGCTCAGAGTAGCGACGTTTCAGTTCGTCCCAAAGTTGAAGGACTTTGCTGGATACATCATCCAAAGATAGTGTAGCAGGCCTGAATCCGTGGCCATTGATGACATCCCGAAGCTTCTGGACAGCAGCTGTCCGATTGCCGTTACCATCGCAGCCTGAATATGTGATGTCTGTTCTGTTTTCCAGTCGTGCAATCGTGTTGTCTGTGAGGAAAAGCTGCCAGAAGCGATCAGCTACCCATGGACCCAGTTCAACTATGGCGTTATCTGTCCATTGCAGCTCCTTGTCAAAATGCTGGTTGCTGCGAACAAGAGCCCGTATTTTCTGCACGAGATCCGATTCAAACGACCTCATAAGAGCTGTATAATGGATTTCTCTCTCTGTAATTTTCCGCATGTTGGGATTCATAGACAGTGATTCCTCAGAGACGGTTGCAATCTCGCTATGAAGGAGGCACTCCAGCTGAGCAGTAGCAACCTTCATGTCTGTGTGAGCGTCAACAGGAGACGCAGTCATGCCAAGAATTTTAGGTCTCTTTTCTTTTTCAGGCTCCTTGATGTAGAAATCCTTGATGATGCGCGCATAAGGATGGTTCTTTTTCGTATGATGAGCTTCGTCGAAGATGAGCAGATTTATCTGGTCCATGCGAATGTAAGAATGCACCAAGCATTTCTGCAGAATCGCCGCAGTGCAAACGATGACCATGTTCTTTTCAAATTGCTCGGTCCAGAACTCCCTGGACCACATTTCTTCAACCATGTCGCCGCAGTAGCGGGCGACATTGTGCTCTAGATTGCATTCGAGAACCGCGTGCTGCTGGAAGACAAGCGACACCTTGTCAACCTGTGTATGTATGTGTCAATTTGAGTACGGTCGCTAGCCGCAATGAAGACTTACCAGGAAAAAGGCAATACGCTTCGGCTTTCCGAGTGCGCGGTCTTCGACCTCCTTCTCGAGCATGTGACGAAGCAGTAGGGCGGCAATCAGAGTCTTGCCGGCACCAGTATCCAGGACTGCGATGATGTTCTTCTGCTTCGCTCTTTCGAAAAGCTCGATTTGATACTCGCGAGGAGTCTGGATGATCCTTCGGTTCTCATTCTCCCTCACCAAATATGCAACAGACTCACGAGTCGGGCCTTTGGACGTCTTCGAGGCTGCCTCAAGCACCTGGGTTTGGTTCGATTCGACCCAAGATTGAAACTTGGCGTGATCCTGACGCTTCTTCTCTGAGATCTTCCGCGGCTTCTCAGGGTTAAGGCTCCAGCGACGATAGTCGTCATCCTCGTATTGATCGTCGTTTTCATCCTTGTCAGGGTGGTCCTGCTCTTCGATATCGTCTGTGTTGAAAATGGGACCTCGGCGGCAGGAGGAAGCCGCAACTGAGTAGCTTGGAGAGGTTGGCTTGGAAGAACAATCTGTTGCTGGGGAAATGCCTCCCAGCTCGGTCGTGGTAGGCTGCTTGTGGCTTTCCTGGGCATGCTGTAATGGCTCCAGGTAACGGGGAGTCAAGTTAATTTCCTCTAGGCCGTCAACGAGACTACCTGAAGCAGACGGCCGGTCCCCGAGCCTTTGGCTTTTATAGGCTTCCATCATCGCGTGGCTGCTTGTGTGGTATCAATCTTTGTTCCCGGATATCGTTCTTGACAAGTTCAGGTAGTATTAGTGGATAACTGTGAGAAATGAAGAGGTAGGTAAGCCGGTGCGTAGGGAGTGAGCAGAGATGAGTGTGATGCCGGTATGGGACTCAACTTGGGAGAGAGTGGCTCCTTTTCGAAAGAAATAAATTGTAGTACATTTTATTCTCCTATCACAGTAGTGATGCGGAACATGTAAAAAAGACAAGGCCAGTCATCAAGTTTGCTGCTAGCTTCAGAAGGGAGTCGCAACAGTACATAAGGGAACGGACGTGAGTATAAGAGCCTGAAGAACTTACAGTACAAGTTGTTTAAAGAAAGAAATACCTCCTAGTAAGAGAGGTCCCTCCTCGAAACTCTGCGTCTTGGCTGTTGTGGTGGATAAGGCGAAGGTGGTGGGCTGATGTGGAAGTGGTGGAGGGTAAGGTGTGGGAAGGTGAAAGAGAAAAGCTACGAGAAGGTGAGAGGAAATTTGATATTTCCTTCCGCGATTTTTGGAGGTGAGAATGGAAGGTGCAAGTGCCAGCCTGGCTGGAAGAGTTGGGAAAGAAGCCACCCAAAATGTCTCAGACTGTACTGTTCACAGGCCTCGATCGAAAGATGAGGTTATCTTGTGACGAGTCGAATTAAGAATGAGTTGAAGTACGCTGATTGAAAAGGATCGTTTCGATATGTGAGAGTGCGAGGATGTTGATTAGAGGTGAGAAGAGACGTCAGAGAATCAAAAGAGTAAAATCATGTGTGCCCCGCCTATGACTGATGCAAGTTTGATCTGTTCTATTTGGAAGACAGGGCGCAAGTGCAGGGCTGATTTGAGAGTCTGGGGGTACGAAAGGCCCGGTTTGTCCTAACTTAGACGGCGCTGACATTCAATGTGTCTGTCCAGTTAGTACTGAGAGAAGCCAGGTATGCGGTCGAAAGGAAGATTTTCGGAGCGAAGGGATTGGACTCATTGTAAAGAATTCCAATCGAGTCGAAAGCCCGGGTTGATGTTCATGATGAAACTAGACCAGACCGGTCGCTCTGAATATGCGGAATATTCCCAATATTAAGAGCAGGAATGAGAATCAGAATGTTTGGATTAGGTCTAGGAATAAGACTGGAATTATGTGAATGGAAACAGAAAGGAACTGCCGACTTGCTAAAGCAGGACACCTTCCCCAGTTTGTGTTGGCATGGTGCGGCAAGCAGCATGAGGCAAGCAAACGAATCAATGTCCCATGGTCCATAATTCCATGCTGAAATCTGACATGATGCTAATTGTTTAGAATCCATACAGAATTCCTTGGCAAGTAGGGCTCTCACTCGACGTTCTTCACTAGGACCATGGCTCAGTTCGCCTGTACCTCAGGTGGAGGGTAGGGGTGAAGGTATGAGACCGAGGTGTGGGTCTCGTGTAACGTGAGGAAAAGACCAAATAAGGTCAAAAATAGAGAAAAGACCACCTGGATGTCGTCTATAGATTGAACTTAGCCCCGGGTGCTGTTTGTAAGACGTCGAAATCATCCCTACCTCACCTCATTCTCACCCTACCTACCTTTCGGTTGAGAGCTCTGCCGACAGGGACCCCTGTCATTACCCCACCTTCACCCAGCTCCCCCCGCTGTGAGTGAAGTACTTTAGATAAGATAAGGACCCTTGCCGAGAATGCAAATTGCCACTCAAGGATTTGGAAGGTGGAACATAACGTTTGGCGCCATTTCTTTGATGGGCTCTTCTCGTAGCAAAGAAGCGAACCGTTGCAGTAGAATCCAAACTAGCTTCTAAACCATCACGCGCCACAGTCTGCAATACCTTGATCGCCGCTGCAGCTTGATAATAACCCCATTTGCCTTGGGCGACAAGTCTTCCCTCGCAACTCTCCTCCTCATCTTCTCTGCAATCCATCGCAATTATCATTCTCTCCCTACCCCTCCACCCCTCCCCACCACTTACTTACCTTACTGAGTGACGAACGACCTTCCTGACGACCACCTTCAACATCCAACAACCACACCTCGAACAGCGACCATGGCAGACGAGGATCAACCCCAGACACTCAAGTCTGTCTTCACCTCGGCCGAGAGAAAGCGCCTCACCCTCGAGAACTCCTACGAGGCCTCCTCCCCGACCTACCTGGACGATCTCCAAACCGCGATCGCAGAGTATGAGACATGCCTCGACCTGATCTCCCGCGCCGCCCTCTTCTCACCTAACGAGTGCCTTGAGGACCTCTCCACCTCCTCGCTCCCCTACCTCCTTATCACATACCACCTCGCCGACCTGCACCAGAAGCTCCCCTCCCGCCGACCCATTGAGCGCCGCGTCGCCCTTGAGCGCGCTCGTGAAGCCTACGAGACGTTCCTCGGCGCCCTCGACTCCTACGACCTCCTGACCGACCAGAACAAGATGCTCTACGAGCGTTACACCGACGAACCCCTAGCCTTCTCGACCCTCGGCACCAACGACCCTGCCAAGCGCCGCGACGCAAAGATTGCAAACTTCAAGTCGGAAAAGGCCCTCAAGGACCGCCTCGAGACGCTGCGCCGGAACCCGCGGTACCAGAACGAAGACGGCGACGACGAGGTCGCTCGGGACCTGCATCTCGCGCACGTCGCGTACTCGGCTCACATGGCTTTCCAAGGCCTCGAGGGTATCAACCGCGAGCTGGAGGTTCTGGCCCAGGCCACGGTGCCCCTGATGCCCTCACCGACATCCGTCGAAGAAGACGAGCGTCGCCGCACCGAAGACCGTGGTAATGCCGGCTACAGCGAGCGTCTGGAGCCCCCGCGCCGGCTGCAGAGCATGTTCGGGCAGGGAGGCCCCATATTGTCCACAGAGGGCAAGCCGCTGCAGCCTTTTACACTGGTCGGGAACCGGCAACAGATGACTAAGGATGTCTTCCGTCCCGGCCACAATCTGCCCACAATGAGCATTGATGAGTACCTCGACGAGGAGCGGCGTCGGGGCGGCATCATCGAGGGCGGCGGCGACGCGAGCTGGCACCGCCCGGAGCCTGACGAAGATGATTTTGACAAGGCGGACGAGGAGACGATGAAGGCGAGAGCGTGGGATGAGTTTGTTGAGGCCAATCCCAAGGGCTCAGGCAACACGCTGAACAGGGGCTGAGCAAAGCGAATGTGATAGGGCAATCGGATGGAGTACGTAATTGGAGGAGTTTGAGGCATACACCAAAAAAAGGGAGGATACCACCACGCACAATACGACGACGACCTTGGGAGTTCACATTATGGTGAGACGGCAAAGGTTTGCAGAACTCTTATGTTCAATACAGCATAATGAACATCTACTCCGTTCGCAAACTAATCTGGACTGATCTGTACTGACTTACATATGAGCCAGTGTCATCAACCGTAGACCCGTTTTTGTACCCTGTGTTGTCACCAGTGTGATCTGCCGCCTTCGCAATCTCAATGCAAACTGGTGATACTCCCCCAAAACGCCCTAAACAAACTCCAAGTCCACATCTTCTTATCCATGACCGTTCAATGACCCTCCATTTCCAATGCGGTGATCTAAACCATAACCAAATCATCGTCGTCGTCAAGAAGGGAAGAAGATGCTGTGCTCTTCGAAGAAGGCTCGGCGGAAGGCAAACGGCCTTCACGGGACGAAAGCGACATGCGAGCATTAGAGCCCCCAACGACGTACTCCGGAGTGTGCTCTCTGGAGCGACTTTCCTCTGGACCAATCTCCGTCATCACCTCGTCGTCCACGTCGTTGTCGGTTTCGAAATTGATGCTAGTGCCGGTGTCTGACTGGTCGGGGGTCTCATTGAGGGCCATAGCACGAATGTCGTCTGTGGGAACAGCGAGCTTGGCGATGCCGTAATCCGAGTCTCCATCCGTGAATGACTCTGTGCGAATCGATATATCGTCAGCCACGACCTTGTTCGGGTTGAAGACGGTCGAGATGCCGTCCTGCACATCGACGCTACCAGGTCCAATGGTGCTCCCGCTTCCATCCAGGCGAAGCTGCATTAAGACGCTGCTCATCGAACCCGAAGTACTCGAGGCATCCGATGGGATCGTGAGGCCGGTGTGGTAGGCCGGTCCCGGTCCCGCTGGTCCATAGTCAGCGGGTGGCAGGGAGTGCTCGAAGACGCCTCCGGTACCGTCGTCGTTACCGCCGGCCCAGAGCGGCAGAAACTTCAGCTCGTTGTGGTGCAAATTGAGCAGTAGGTGCGGCGTCAGGTTCATCCGGATCTCAAAGTCGGCTCGGACGCACTCCTGGTAGAATGGCTGGAGGAAGTCCTGGAGCGGCTTTTGGAAAGCATGGGGGTCGAACGCGTGTCTCAGTGCGCCAGCTGAGCCAAAGAAGTCGCGACGAGCAGCCAGCATCATTAATGACAGGCCGCGAGGAGGCAGGTTCAGAACTGCAATCCAGGCGGGATCTCTAGTGAACTCGGGGTGCTCATCGAGAACCTCTCTCAAGTGACTCCACATGGTCTGGGTCAACTTGTAGATGTTCAGTTGGCCTGATGAGCCTGAAGTGAACACGTTAGGTAAAGATGTCGGCTTGTTGCCGACAGCCTTATACATAAAGGTGCACAAAGCTTTCTGAACATTGTTAAACTGGCTGTAGATGATCTCAAAGCGGTTGAAGTTGTGGATGTCAACATAACTAGCTCGGTGGTCGTCGATCTTGATGAGTTCATCGGCGTCAAGAGGCTTCTTGAGCATTTTATAAACCACGGGGTTTTCCCACAGATTCTTCAGCGACATTGATACTGACAGCGCGGAGATCTTGGCTCTGAAGACTACGGGTTCATCGGGGCAGCTCGAAAGCATGCTGATGAGATTTTGCAATCGTGTCCACTCCGGAATCTGCAAGTCATCGAAGATGGTCTCGCTGACCAGCTGATTGACAGGCCGTGATACACGCTCCACCATTGCTCTGGCTGCGTGCTGGATCAGATTGTTCAAATCGTCTCCAGGATCGTGGCGTTTGCGTCCGAAGACAGTGTAGGCCGCTGCCTTTGGCGTACCGTTTACACCAGCGGCCTCTTCCAGGGCAAGCTCGTTCACCAAGATTCGGAATGCTGAGCGGGTGATGTGGTCCAGCTTGAGGGTGACACCAAGCTGAAGGCTCTCTTCAGGTAAAACCTCGATGAATGAGGTGTTATTAGGACTGGTGATCCACTGGAGAACCAGATCGCGCTGTTCATCATGTCAGTCAATAATAGTAGTCGACATGGGCAGCCAGAGAACTCACCACAACAGTGGTGCAGTCCAAAATCTTCCCCACTGCAACCAGCGTCCAAACTCGAGATGCCGAATCGATGAAAACTCGCTTGTTAGCGATGATGCACATCAGGCGGAGGATGTTGACGCGATGACGGATCGGACAATAGTCCGGGATCCGTCTGTGGGAGGGAATCGGGGCTGGAGTGTAGTCTCCTCTAGACTTCTTCTCCAGAACCCTGGCGGCCAATCCCTTGTTCTCCGTATATAGCCTCTCTCCCCTCTCTTTGGTATGGCGATTCTCTGGGACAACCTCGCGCAAACTCTCTCTGATGGCCGAACTGATGGCGTACTCCATCTCGGGGTCTCGTTCCTTGTTTTCATCGCGTGTCGTTTCGCTCGCTGAGATCTTGTCAATGAACATGTTGAGGCTGTCAGCCTTGTTTTCCTTCCAGCAAGAGCAGACATCATCATGGCCAGACACAACGTAATCGTCTACACCATGTCTGTCAAAAGCTGTCCACCAGTTGATGATGCCCGGTGTCAGCGAAGCCTCGGTCATCTGGAAAACGAGATCATCGCCCTCGGAAGGAGGCGTAAGATCCAAGACGTATTTAATGCCAGGAGGAAGATTCTTAGCAATCTTGCGTCGACGTTGAACACGGAATTGGTAGGTGGGATTAAGCATCTCAGCAAACTTGGAAGAACCAGTGCTCAAGAGCTTTTCGGAGGGCATTCGGAATCGAACTGAGTTCCATGCGTATATGAAGCAATCAACGCTGTCTGCAGTGTTCATAGGGGCCGGAAAGTCGACGAAGATCAGGGTATCGCCTTCGTTGAGTTCATTCTGGATATCGTGGAGAAGAAACTGAGAGTATCGGCGAGCTTGACTGTGTGGCATGTTGTTCTCATTAGAGCGAGATCCTTGTTGCGGTGGTCTACGGGTATTGACTTTCTGCTGCGCGACATCAACAAAATCTGTATGGTGCGCGATATCGACAACTCTAGCGGGTTCCAAAGCATCAGAGGTCTCTTCAATCAGGGGCTCTCGGAGAGGCCCCCCAACGTAAGTGATTCCGCGAGCGGGCTCGTTTTGAGCGTCGCCCTGGTCATCTTGCTGATGTTCGTCCTGGGGCATCTCCCACCAGTCCATGACCACAGGTGACCAGTCGTTGTCTGCAGCCGCTGGCGGTGCTTGATTTCCGTCCAGACTCATCGCTGCGATGAGACTGGGATCTGGGTGACCGAAATTGAGCTCGAGATATTGGCGAGCTGAAAGATCGCGGCCGTCACTGAACCGAGCGAGAGATTGACGGCCTTGGGGTATGAGTAGGTAGCGAAGCTATCTGTGACTTCTCTGCTATTAGAAAATCGCTGAGCGGCGAAGACTGAGGAGAAGAGTCAGAAGTATCGCTGGGCAGGCAGAAAATCCGCCAGTTCGTGGTTTGGACACCCAAAGATGAAGTTTGGCGGGGATGCGTAGCCTCGTCCAGGCAGCAAGGTCTCGGGAGTCAGATGTCACTAAGAACGGTTCGAGAGCCCGCTGACTGCCACGCCACGCCCTGGCCACACGAATTTTCTACCGAGCGTGTGGAAGACAGAATAATTGAAGGGAATTCGGGCGTGAGAAACGCTTGATTGTTTGCGATACCGGATAAGTGTGGATCCAGGGTATTAGGCATGTGATGGAATCAGAAAAGTAGGTATGAAGATTTGACAGTAGATTGAGAGGAAAGATGAATAGAAGCATGGATGGAGGGGAGGTCCTTAGCTGTGGTGACATGAGATCGGGTTCGGGAGGTATGCGGGCAACAAACGTGGATTTCTACCAGGTATCAAGGCGCAAGTGGTCTGGCATTGGGTATGGGGGGAGAGCGCACTGCAGGAATAAGAAAGGCGACTGGAAGATCAGGCATTAGCAACTCGTGACCTGAGTACCCGAGTGACTCTACTTCAGGTGCAGAAAATGCCTGGTATGTTGCTTTGATCCTGCTCAGCTTACACCTTGTGAACAACAGGGATACAGCTGCGGCCTGCAGTCCGGTACATAAGTACCTCCACAAAGATGGACAAAGCTCTCCGTGGTCTGTATTTGATACACGCAATATGAACAAAAGACAGACTGGCTGTCAGCAAATTCTTTGAAGAAGAAGAAGAAGAAGAGGGCAAATGGCGGCCATCAGCGGACATCGAACTCGGGGGTCCTTTTTTTTTTTTTTTTTTTTTTGGAATAAGAATGAAAAAAGGATTGAAGCGGGATGGACTTGACGACAAATACCTTACCCGCCTACCTACCTAAGTAAGCAGGCAAAACCACGCAACGTCAGCAGGGTCCCTGGGCAGGACTTGCACCAAACAGCGGAAACAACGATGGAAGTCTCCGCTGCAAGCTTCTTTGTTGCAAGGCGGCCAATTGAGGAACCAGACAATTAAGGTAGTCCAAAGACCCATCGACGCTTGAGCCATACTCGATGTCGCTGACGCCTGCTCGATTGGCCAAAAGTGGGGGAAGCGGGTGCTGCTGTATGCTTAGGTAGCTAGCTGTAAGTAAGTAGGTTTCTTACTAAGGTGAGGTACTGGCAGTGTCTTTCAGCTCCGTTCCGGCCGTCGTTGTGTGGAGGTCCGAATCATTTGGTCCCACTCCAAGACCGGCCGGCATGACAAAGAGAATTCGGCTCCTTTCAAGGTGGACGTCAATCCCATCTCCTGAGAGTGCAGTACCTACTGATCTACTGTGCATCAAAATTCAGCCATGGTTATGAAGAATACATAGAGCGCGCTCAAAATTCGAGTTGCAAATAGCATGGCAGTGTGGCCAAGTTCATGTCAAAACGGAGGGCTAGCATACATTTCTAAGCATAATATCACGAACTCAGCTACGACTGCTTGCTCACCTTGTTTGAAAACACATACATTGATTACCATTACATAAAGCACATACATACCCATGCTAGAAGTAATAAAACTGTTCAACCTGGAACAGCTTGGTGTCGTGGTTTGTTTGAGTGAACAGTGGAGACTCACACTTCTCAACGTTTACCCGGGTACGTGGACAACAAGAACCCTAACCGAGGGTTAAATTGCATACGGATTGGAAGTCATTTTGCGCCAATATATATATATATATATATATATTATAGGATTTGCTTTTTTCGGAAGCTACAGGTTTACTCGCTTTAATGATGGCTTTCTTATTACTGTCATACAGTACCTGACGGAGAGGCCAGAGGAAGGAACCCAAGTCGATGTCTAGATCCCACCTACGTCAACTTTTTGCTGCGCTGGCTACCATTGATGAAGGTCATCTACGATCTTTGAAAAACCAAGCACTTTTCTGGGGCTTCCCACATCAAAATTTCTCCCTTCTTCTCGCCTTGGCAGAAAAGATTTATCTCTCATCGTCTTCCGGAACGTCCGCGCTATCGGATGTGCAACCACATCGAAGCCAAGGATACGCCTCCGCCTTCCACTCCACAAGGACCTACACCGACAGGCGATGACTGGTAGCCCAGAAGCAGAAAATATGACGAGTTTGCGCCCCCATTTCCTTCCAGTAAGGAGCGGTCGGCAGGCTAACCTAGAGGAAGTCACACAGTTGATAAGTCCACCGCCACATGACTGCACTGATTGTCAGGTGGGATACTACACTGTGGCTGAGCAGATCCAGCCAAGTCACTCCTACCGCTATGGCCTTTCAGATACAACTGCGTTGAAAATCGTGTCTTCATACGTCAAAGAGGCTCGAGAGAGCAAAAAACATATCCTCGATCGTCTAAGCTCCCACGCCGACCTTATCATGAGCCGCTGGCGGAAGCGCAGTCAAGAAAAACGACGCGAGTTACTCAACAAGACTGTACCTGAGCTCGAGGAGCTGCAGTGGATAATTCCACGATATGGATACAGCGAGGAAAAGGATCTTTTGGAGGCTCGTACAATTCACAACTGGCGTCACCTTTTGCTTCCGTGGCTCAATGTCGAGGTACTCAAGACGAGCCCGGCTGTCCTGTTCGCCCTGCTCCATTATCGAACGATGTACACGCCAGAGGACTGGGCGCCGCTTGACTGTCGTCAAATCGAGCTGCCTTGGGCCGCTGGGCTCTTCAACGTGGATTTCTCTCCCAAGTGTGTGGTGATGTCCGGAACTCGTTACGGAGATGTTGTCGATTGGGAAGAAGGACAGGCTCACACCGGATACACACTGGGTTTCCCGCGCGCTCGGCTTGTCCTGGAGGCTCAAGCTCTTCTTCTGAAGACTCTCTCAAATATCACCGATGCGATTCTCGAGGGTGTTGATACCACAATTGTCGTTGGGAGGACAGATAAGTGGAGGGAGCAGACCTTGGTTGGTTTCCACCACCCTGGGGAGGCCGAACTCTGGTCGCCCTATACTTACCCAGCTTTCTCTCCTCCACCCAGACTCGACATGGACTACCTTGTGTCTCTCGCAAAGACGCGCAAGGAAGAGGTAATTGACCATCTGACAGAACTCCAGTGCGATTCGGCATACCTTCGTCAACACATCAAATATCTCTTTAATACTACACTCTTTCAGATTGCGGGTGAGGAGGAAGCGGCAAAATTGGTTGCCCGATACATCTATATTGACATTCAAAGCTATTAATGGTGGCATTGGGTTGAGATTGAATGTCAGCATGCGCGGGGCATGCATGCCAGGTTCGCAGACAGCACACACCCCGGCAAGCCAATACCTCGCAAATACAACCTGGCACTAGGTGCATTGGAGCTCTTCCTCGTCAACCAAGTCCATCATCGAAGCAGTCGTATTAAAGGCCTGATACCCTTCGCTCCAGGTCTGTCAAAACATTATACCCTGCCATAGAAACGTGGAGTGTCCCTGGAAAAGATGCTTCGGGAGATCACGCGATACTCGAAGCCGAACACGAAAGAGCATCTAGAGAGTGACCCGCTCGACTGGTGCCTCGTGCAAATGACTGGCGAGCCTGACAATCAAAGGCACTTCGATCACGCAATGCTCTTTGCTATGATTGACGATCATCTTTCCAAGAGCAACAGAAAGGAAGCAGCTCGCATCGATAATTTGCTCATGCGCGAATTGGCCAACCTATCCGCCATGCACGAGTGACTGGTCTCTTTGCGCCTCCACCGGCCACAGAACAAATTTAGACAACTGAAAGAAGTGATCCAGACCGAAAAACGCGGGATCTGGAGACATTTGCGCCATGGTGTGAAGCCTCTTCCGGAGGAAAAGCTCTTCGAAGCAGGGAAGGGTCTCATTGACGGCTTCTATCGACAAAAAGCCCCGAGCGGTCCGAGAAATGAGGCATGGTTGAGGCAAAGCCAGACTCTACGAAGCGTTGTGGAAGGATTCTTCAAAGATTTACACACCATGGTTCGGGAAAATCTCGCAGAAAATGACTTTGAAGGGGAAGAAATAGAAGGATTGATGGGTGTGTTGGAAGCACATCTCAAGCCTGAATATCTCAAAGCGGCCGTTCGGGAAGCAGAAGAGATCATGGCCAAAATGACCGAGGACGAGGAGCCTGCCCGCGACACATTCCGAGACATATCCACGGCTGCACAGGGATCACTTCGGTCTGGTCTGTTCCAGACGAATCAGCGAGAGAAAGCCAAGACCCGGCCTGGTAACCCGCTCGCGACTGTTCCTGCGGTTGAAGACCCAGGCTCTCTTGATATCGTCACCTTTTCGATCGAGCCCATGGTGCGAATTCGCGTCTCCCAGCGCACCCTAGATGTAGTTCATCTCATTTACCCCGAATCTCAGACAAGGCCGAGAAATATCACATGGGACGACTTCGTACATGCCTTGTGCGATGCCGGTTTCGTGGCGAGCAACAACGGCGGTTCCGCAGTGCGTTTCGAGCTAGGATCCGGGTCGGATCGCGGAGACAAGGGGGCAATCATCTTTCATAAGCCGCATCCGGTGCTGAAGATTGTGCCAATCATGCTCCATGGCATGGGAAGACGGCTGACGAAGTGGTTTGGGTGGAATTGTGATTGTTTCGAGGCTAGGGGCGCACAGGAGGACTGAATAGGATTTGAAGGAATGGGGGCTTGGTCCAAGAGCATGCTTGGGGAAAGTTGTGGTAGCTCCTTTGAGAGGATGTAGTCTGGGACATGATCTTGTCCAAGCCAGATTGTTGGGAGTAGGGAGAGAATGGACAAGTTCTGTAATTGTGACTGTGGAAGTATGATGGGATGTCTTGGCCGAGATAACTTGCTTTTGGAAGAAAATACTGGAGAAATGACCCCAGACCAGCTTGTTGAACTGATTGTCATGTTAACAGAGATGCCAGATAATCTGTCCGTTCTATCTCGTCCTTGGCTTTCATATCGCCCACGATAGATAGGCACGCGTGGGCAGTAGGTAGAGTAAATTTGATGTCAGGCGTTTGCCCCGATGCGGACTCGGTCAAATATACCCGCAGGAGACCCCGAACATCGGCCCCACCCGTCCGTACCATAAGGTAGGCTGCCAAAGTAACATTCTGATGGATCGTGTTGAAATCATTCCCAGATGGGCTCCGAGAGTTTCGGTCACTCATGAATCTTAGTTGATAAGCTTATCCAAACCTGACTCACCCCATGATCAATTGCCGCGGCAGACATAGGACGTTCCCGCAGAAAAGCTTGTTCTGTAGCTTGCCCGCTGCCAAAGGGATCCTTCCGCACTGATGCATTTTCATCCCAGCGCCTCCCTTCCGAAAGAGGAGAGGGAGACAAAAGGGACAGGATGCTTCCCTGCGTCATGATTTCCCGATTGCCACTCGATTTGCAGAAACTCATCATCACCCCGTCCAATCCACGTCGCACTCCATAACAGAAAACATCCATCGTCCCTCCCCCAAGGACCCGCTCAAAGCTCCCATGAAGTAACCGCACGGTTCCTACCTCCGCCGCACTTCCTAGACTACTATCAAATCACAGCAGCGTTCTAATCAGGTATTCCCGATTGTTGCTCCCACGTCCCATCGGCTGAAACCTGGCCCAACTCTAAACCAAATCAAACATCCAAACCAGCGCATGCTTCCGCATCACACATGCACGCGCACTTGCGTCTAGTGTCTAGCTGCACACACGTGCCGCCAGATGACGCCGTCTCAAGGATCATCCGGTCTACACACAGCTTGCTGCAGCAAAATGTATCTCCCTTCTGTCCAGGAAAGAATGTGCATTCAACGTCCCCATTGCACCCTCCCCCAGCTTTTTATTTTTATTTTTTTTAAACATCGCCTGAAGTGCCTCGTCATTTCCCCCCTCATATCTGAGATGATCGTCCCTCCGTCTCCCTTTGGATACTTACCGCCCATTACCAAACCTCCTCGTAACCCCATCCTCAGGATAGACAATACCCAATGAAAAGGTCTCGGCTCGGAATGCAATCCAGCACCGGCCAAGCTCTCAAAGTAGACTGCCCAATCACACCCCCTGACCCCAGATGTCCCCACCTGTGTCCCGCATGTCGCGTGTCCCCGCCTCCCTCCCCGCCAATTCAACACGCCACCATCAGCAAAGCACCGTGCCACAAGGTCCACAACTGCCAATTGCCACAGTTCCAGACCAACACACCACCCACTCACACTCCGCCCACTCCAACTTCGCACTCCGCCCTTCCCTATTCGCAGCAGCAACCTACCAATCTCACAGGGATTCCCAGTTTCAGCAGGGTCTACAAACACATTCTGCTGATCCGAGCCGCAGTTCTTTGATCCCTGGGCCCCTCATTAGGTAGTAAGCAAAGAGACTCCCATGCCAATCGTCCGATCCCCAAGCTTCTTGAACACCACACACGCACCAGAAGCGGCACTAGTGACATCTTTCCCATACTTCCCCAACAAAAACACTTTGTGTGTGTGTGTGTGTGTGTGTAATGCCCCATCCCCTCCCCCTCCACGTATGCCGCCGCCCGCCCGGGGAGCTGGGGAAGCTAAGAGCTGGCTATCAAGTACGTTGAGTTCTCTACTTAACTAGAGCCACTCCTCGATTTTCTAACATCGTTGGTATGCCCATACTTACTAACACCACTTTGACTTGTAATCCATCGTGAAATATCTATATCACCATTCCCAACTACCTGCCATCTACCAAAGATACATTCCAATATGCAACCCAAAACTCCGATGCCAGCCCCTCATATCCGCCCCGCGATGTACGTCTCCCTCATCACTTAGCAGCCGTCAATACCTTTCCCCGGTCAAAAATTCCTCCTTGAAAATCACATCATAACTGACCTTAATTCAGACGCCATCGAGGTCTCCTCGTCGTCACGGCGGCCGTCACAGCCGTCGCCGTTAGCTTCAGATACACGGCCCTGTCCCGACGGACGAACGAACAAAACCAGTGCTCGAGCAATCCGTACTACGTCAGCGTTGACAGGAGCGGTGGCGGGATCTAAAGGACGCTGTACAAAAAACTCTCCGAGTTTGGGAGTAGGAAAAAGAAAAAAAAGGAGGGGAAACAATATACCCAAACGGTCACGAGACACGGATGGTTCGGTAAAGGAAATGAAATAACTTGTTTTAATGAATTGCTACGGATTCACTAAACCCCAACAACGCGCCGCAACGGCTGCAGTACAAGAAGGTCACAAGTGGGACACAACCAGTCGGGGCGATGATCAAATTGACTTTTCATGTAAAGTGTGAATACAGGAGACTCGGAGAATCTGGAGCGGGATGGGCACTCTGATCAACCAGACCAGATTTTATCAAAAAACAACCAATCATTACCCCATCCATATGTCCAAATGCAGTCGCAGCCAGCTCACGATGTCTAGGCGGCATGCCTCGAAATAACAACACATGCAAGAAAGGCAGGAAAAAGCAGAAATACAACAACCTCCAGATGGGAGAAGTCTGTGGTTCCAAACGCCCCAGCGATGCGATGCCGGTATTCACCAACCATGACCGAGGTAAAGCGCGCCGGAAAATGCCCAGCAAAATCAAATCGCGACTCCCCATTTTACATTGAGCTTCGCTTCGTCGGACCCATACCCGGACCCTCACTGTCAGACTCGTCGCCTGACGAGTGTGCCGGCTCCTTGCCCTTACTCTTTGGCTTGTCCAAAGGACCCAGATTGCTCTTGCGACTGGCCGGGCGTTTGCCTGTTGTCCTTCTCACCATCTTTGGTCTGTCGCCGCCGCCTTCTTTTTGTCTGGCGATTTCGGGGCTTGTCAGGCCGGCGACCTTTTGTAGCTCCTCACCTGATGAGTTGCGGCGAGTGGTCGGAGCTGTCGAGTTGGAGGTTGTCTTCAGCCCGCGTAACTCCCTCGCAACATCCGCGAAACTTTCTTCCAGAGTCTTCATGCGTGCCAGGACGAGCTTGCTCATCCGATTGCTGTCACCAGCATCCTGGCCTCGTCCCGCGCCGCCTAGCCGTGCATCCTTCATCATAGCCATGGCCATTTGTGTCTGGAAGCTCGAAGGCATGCCCCCCGTTGGGTCATCAGGTACGATATTTTCGGACAAGATGCTCATGTCAACCGAGGACAACCGTCTAAGGGGATTCGGGCGTAAGCGTTGATCGATTCCCGTAACAGCTGCTCGATTCGGCGCCGTCTGCACTGCATCTCGAGGTGGCATGATAGGTCTTGGCCGCGTAGTCGTGACGTACGTTTGTTGCCGGCGCGGGGAACGATGGCCGCTAGCCGTGGCCGGTTCAACCACCGCAGGGCGACCGTTTTGCACACGCGCACGAGTAGGCGGCGGATCGGGCGAAGAATGAGAGGATGAGCTAGGCGGCCGACGCAGCTCTTGTGGCGCGTACAGAATTGTGTTCGTTGACATCGTCCGGCTGTGCGGCATGCGACGCGCGGAGCGAGGAGTGACCGACACGGAGGGCCTGCCACTTGAACCCAATGAAGAAGATGCCGGGGGTGGCACGAACCCCTTTGTTCTGGGCGTGGAATTGAAATAATCGTCAATCGACGTTTGGTGTATGACGGGGCCCCGACGGCTGTCGCCAGCATTGGTTGCGATATCCTCCTCCTCCTCCTCCTCATCGTTTGTGACGAGTTCATCGTCGCCATCTGCGTCTGTTTGTTGATTCTCTTCCTCCTCTTTGGCTTTGGTTGCTGCGACAATGTTTCGGAAGAAGGAACCGATGGCAGGCTGTGAAATGAAATCCGCTGGGTCGCTAGCCGCAGATCTGACATCTGATATCTGACGAGATCTTTGCGTCCGCAGCTCTCTCGAGAGGCTGAGTCGTCTGTGCCAGTCCGGCCGAGCGCTGGTGCTGCCATTCTCCAGAGTCGGCCACTGGGAAAGCTGGAGATGAGGGGAAGGTTCTTCCTCGTCATTGCGATCCATCCAGTTTCGGACCGCATGCTGTGTCTTTTTTCGCTCGTTCCGCCGCTGATTTCGCAGAGTCGCAAGGCCAGGGCCTCGTCGGAACACTTCTTCCAAAGCATGATCCTTCTGGTACCCGGTAATGGATTCTTCGCGAACGCGCACATTGGGGCTGAAAAGAGCAGATCGGCTGGCTGGGTCGGCAAAGGAGATTGTCCTGTCCCGGCCATGGTGGTGGTGATTCTCGACAAGATCCGTGGGCTCATACATCGAAGGGGCGAGCCAGTACTTTTCGTAGAGGAAGATGAAGAACAAGAGAGGGAAGTGCGTGGCCTTGATGATTGTTCTGTTCAGCCTGACGAAATGCTTCATTGGCATGCAGTAGCGCATTGGCATCAGTAGCCACGCGAAGATGTTTCCCGGTGCAACGTAGGAGAAGAGCGCATCGTTCTTGACCATGGAGATTGTGTTGATGGCAAAGAGGAATCTGAATATATTAGAAGTGATTTCCGAACGGGGCAAGTCTGACTACTCACTGATGTTCCTCTTTGGCATTTGAGGCAATCTTCATGAAAGAGTTGGTCAAGACCGTGATGAGAATCGTGCTGGTTTTGTTAGCTAGAAAGTTTAGCAAGGAAATGGCCTGGCTTACACAATGACGAAGTGACACATGATCAGGAAGAAGCCCATTAGGCCCCTCTCGAGCCAGTTATATCCTGGCCACAGTTCCCAAGCGGCCGGGGTAAAGCCCATCAAGAGCTGAAAAATTCTGAAGGCGATTTCAGCAGCATTATTGTTGCCGTCAGCGAGTGTGAAAAAGACGAAGAAGCCGCTGCACGAGATGAGAATCAAGATGGTAACGGCCGCAAGGTCAACAGCCATCAAGCGGAACGCAATGAGCAGCTGGGAGAAGTACTGGTAGTGGTCCAGCACGCTGAAGATACGGGGTAGCAACAGGATGGCATTCGCTGCGAGAACATCGTAGGCAGAGTCATTCCAATGCTTTGCGTCCACGAGAAAGACCCCATAGACACGCATGAAGTAGTAGACAATCAACAAGAGAAGAATTCCCAAATCGAAAGCGTTCCAGAAGCTCATGATGTAAAGCGAGAACCCCTGTTCGTTGAACCCGACAAGCTCATCTAGCATGAAACCAGCACTCCAAAACCAGAATATCAGCTCCAGCGAGCTAATCCGGGCTGAACGTTGGGCGAGGACGGCGAGGAACAGACCAATGAGAACGAGAAGTGACAGCGTCGAGAGGAAGAACCTGTAACGTGGCACGCGGAGACGTGAGAGCTTGAAGAGAGAAGCCTGTCGAGGATCATAAAGAACAACACTCCTTCTTCCGGGTACTGGCTGGTGCCCCCCTTCCTTTTGACCATTCCCACCAAGCAGCGGCGTTCTGGCATCGGGCTTGCCCTGACCACCAGGCGAAGGAGGGGGTTCGCGGTGCAAGCTGTCTGCAGACGAGTAAAAGCTGATGGCTCCGTTCCAGATAGCCTCCAACTGCTGCACCACCAGGGGGTGTGCGAGAAAGTGCTTGGCAGAAGCACGAATAGCAACCTCGAGTGTGGAAGTCCGGGCCGCGGTAAGGCGAGCCTTGTATCTTGGGTCCGATTTCGGGGCGTTTGCTGGCTGGGCGCCGGGAAGGCCCTGGAGTGGGTAAAAGTCGTAGGAAAGGGCATCGATAAGCTCGCGGGTGTTATACTCTTTCAGGAGCTTGAGGGCCAACAGTTCGCAGACCAGAGCCCTGGTTGAGCTATTACCAGCGTTACCTGGGTACATTTGGGCCTCTTTGTTAAACTGCAGGCAGTTTGCCATGAGACAGTATAGCGTGGCGCGGTTGAACTGCTGGGTCCGGATCTGCTGTTGCATGGGCTTTACCAGGAACTGGGAGACTTGGGGGGAGCGTATTTGGTCCCAAGTTAACGTGGTTTCGGTACGGGTCTGTACGATGATGCGAATCGCGTGGGTGATGCTATAAATAGGTAAAGAGTCTGCAAGTTTACCGTCAGCTTGAGGTTACAAGTTTATAGGGGTAGCCATGGAGGGCTTCTGGTTAGCTTGTACCGAGATATGTCTCTGAGAAGAGAGGAAGGACAGGCATTGAGCGTTGGATATGATCTTCGTCATCGACATTGTCATGGTCATCCCCTGACTGGCCTAGGCCATCGTCCTCCTCATCTTCCTCCTCTTCGTCGTCATCTTCAGCCTCGGTGAAGTCTCCGGTTGCGCGTCGTGGTGGCTCGCCGACGTAGTGGCGATAGGCCGGGCCAGGGGAAGGGGATTGCCTGTCGTGAAATCGGTCGACGCGACGGCTGCGATTGCTCTGCTTGGGTCGGAGCAGAGAGGAAAACATGGTCCAATGGGGATGAGATGCAGCCCGCCGCCTTGTGCTATCGCGTCCTACGGCGCCATAGAGGAAGGGCAGGAGACAAGTCGAGAGAGCGCGAGGAGAAGGGGTGGGGGGTTTGGTATTCGCGTAAACGCAGGAGTTCGTTTCGAGTCGGTTTGCGGTGGATGCGTTAGAGAACGAGGCAGTCGGAAGCAGCACCAGGCCAAAGCAAGTCGACGGAGGGTAGGAAGTAGAAAGCAGGAAGTGAAGTCGGTCTCAATAGGTTGGCCGAGCACATTGGTAAATAAGAAAGTGCTAGGTGGACAGGTCGGGAGGCTGGTGTAGGGTTCCCCGTGGTCAAGACGAAGAAATCGATGCACTGTTTTGTGGGGAAACCGGCCAAGGCTCAAAAGCCTTTCTTTTGGACCGGGAGGAGGGATGTACAAGAAGACCAAGGTGACAAGGTCCAGAGGTTAGAGACGCTTGGAAAGCAAAGAGTAAAAGGGACGCAGGCCAGTGTTAGGAAGAGACAAAGGCAAGCAACAGGCGCGTGGAGCGCGGATCGAGATTCGACGAGGACGATGCGATTTTTAGCGTACATAGTCGGACAGGTAGAGTGCTAAAAAGCGAGTGATACTGCATGAGGCAGTCGACGCCGGTAGGGGACGGGAAGGCAAGGAACAGGCAAGTAACAGGATGTGTACACAGTATGGGATGATGTTCACCTCCTTCCTATGTATGTATTCAAACCCAGGCAATTGTGTACCTAG